GAAGAGCTAGCTTTTGTCTAAGGATTAGCAATCATATCTGTTCTGCCTAAATACATTAGGAAAGCTTTCCAAATATTATTAGTTCCCACATCATTAATAATCCGAGAAACAACAGTCTATTCAATTAAAGAGGTAACGGTAGCTCTCAGAACTGAAGTATACTGTTGCAGTAAACACACATTATCTATACTTCTCTTAGAATGATAAAATAGAAATGAAACTATATCTGGTGATGAATGTTGAAATGCTCGTAAGTACTGGCAACAACGATATGTGTGTATGTGTGTGCGTGTTTGTGTGTGTGTATATGTTTGTGTTCTGTTGAAATTTTAGTTTGCCTTCTTGTCACATATATTTTATTTCACTCTTTGCACTATTACGAAAAAAAAACTTGTTATTACTTTTGAGAAAACATTTTGACAACAATATCGAACGATAGTACATCCTATTCTAAATTATCTTTCCTGTTAATAAAATTTATCAATATGTTTTAGAATTTAAACAGTTATCAAAATATCAAATCACACATTTATTCTATCACTTTTCACGTAAACTTCATGTGATAAAAGTAATCTTTTTTAAATTATAAAATTATACAATAAATTATTTCAATAATTGAATAGTTAATTTAAACATTTTTTCCTTTCAATAATTATTTTATTATTTATTATAATTTATGCGATAAAATTTGAAAACAAAAAATTAATCTTTTTCAATATGAATTAATCATTTTCAACAAAATACACGAAATGATACATATACATCAAAAATCCTTCCTATTTCTAAACATAGTTTGAACCAGTTTACATCATTTTCAATAATACATATCATGTCGAATTGTATTTACAAATTTCATTCGTTTCCTTTTTAAGGTATCGAATCGAATCAAACAAACATTACTGTCACATTCATTCATTCATTGCTGGTAGAGGTTATTGAATATGAAAAATTTTTTTTGAAGAGAGATGTGAAGAGTTGGTCACAACAAAATTTCCCCTTAAATATTATGTTATTTCGTTTTTTCCCATTCCATCTGCTTTATTCATTTTCAACAACTTCGATAACTTCAATAGCTATTTCATTACTTTCCTCTTCTCTTCTTTACCTCGATAATCATCACCATATCTGTTCATTTGCGCCATTTGCTCCCAATTCTTATCCTCTGCATTTACTATATTAAATTAGAGGAAATTTTGTTTGGAAATGCTTTTTTTCTATTTTTCCCTTGCTTCATTACTGAAAATAACAATTTTGTTGTATAATGCGCAAATGACATCAGCATCCCATATCTGTTCATTTGCACCATTTGCGCCCAATTCTTACCCTCTTCACTTACCATATTAAATTAAGGTAAATTTTGTTTGAAAATGTTTTTTCTATTTTTCCCTTGCTTCATTTGCTGAAAATAACAATTTTGTTGTATAATGCGCAAATGACAGCAGCAAACTGTGACGTAATAAACTTTGTATGGTATAATCGTAACGATAATTATTCAAATGATTAATTTTTTTCTCTCTATTTTAATAATACAGTTTAGGAATGACTGATTATAATATTTTATCAATTCAGAATGTGAACCATTTCCAGTGATAGTATATATTTATTTATACATAGAGAGAGAGAGGGAAAGAGAGAGAGAATTTAAATTTTTTTAAATATAAAATTGAGATAATAATTTATGCTCAATACGTTTAATTATATTTTAACATCCAATCTTATCACAATTAAAAAGACGAAATTGTCGCAATAAAGAAAATGATGGAATTATTTACATAATTATTTAATATTAGGTTTTATTATTATTATTACTGTATATTTGCAATTCAAAAACGTAACTTAATATTTTTGTATCAAAAATCTGTAAGGAAGAAAATTACGTAAGCTTAATTTTGTCTCTTACGGTAGGTAATTAATTACTTTCATACTGTCCAAAAAATTTTATTCAACATTTCTCATATTTCTTCCACTACCAATTTACCTTTATGAATGCTTTTCTTTTCTCCAAAAAATTTTTGGTAAATTTGAGAAAAGAAAAAGCGCAATTTGTTTGCTATTGTAATATGCGCTTCAATTTATCGTTTTTCTTTCGCAAAAATTAAAGAAAAAAGAAAGTGACATTACACAGAATTGCTATTTTGCAACGTATCGAGTTACTTAATTATGTACTTACTTACTTATTCACTTATTTACTTACTTATTTACTTTACTTACTTACTTACTTGCCTACTTACTTACTTACTTGCCTACTTACTTATTTACTTGCTTATTTACTTACTTACTTTACTTACTTACTTGCCTACTCACTTACTTACTTGCTTATTTACTTACTTACTTTACTTACTTACTTGCCTACTTACTTACTTACTTGCTTATTTACTTACTTACTTTACTTACTTACTTGCCTACTTACTTACTTACTTGCTTATTTACTTACTTTACTTACTTACTTACTTGCCTACTTATTTATTTACTTACTTGCTGTACTTACTTACTTACATGCTCTATTCATTTAAAAACCCAACTTTTTACATCTTTATAAAGGCGCAAAATAACATTAAATAAAAACATTAAAATAAACATATTAATGATAAGTAATTATTTCAAGTAAGTTAAGTAAATAAATTCTAAAATTCTTATCAATTAAGATGATAATTCATGAAAGATTTGATCATTAGTGATTCATTTTTTGTTTTATAATAAAATAATTTGAATGTAAATAATAATATGGCTTAATACTATAAAACCTAATTATCAATGATCGATTTTTCTCCGATCATTTTTCGACGTAAAAAACATTTTTTGTAATGTATTATTAAACAACACAAAAGATATCGTTGAAAATACAACAAACCCAATGATATTTATAAAGAAAAAGAAGATATTAAAAAAAAAAGGGAAAAAGGAATGGAAAGACTGGTAACAAAGTATTATTTTCAATTTTTCCAATAACTTTTACAATTTCAAAATAAACTTAACCAATTTTTCCACTGATTGATGTTTCAATTTTTCTCTTTGCATTCCTTTTCATTTAATCTTTTCTCTCTCTCTCTTTCTCTTTCTTTTTAGTTTCAATTTTTAAAGAACGAGTTAAAAGGAAACTTCCTTCCTCATATTTGTTTCATTTTGGATTGTTGTTTTAATTTGATTGAAATGCATAATTAATGATACTGAAACAGTTTTTAAGCATTCAATCAATCTATCTATCTATACTGATTGATTTAATTAAGAAAAAGAAAAAGTTCAAATAACTGGTTATTTGTTTCGTTGTTTGTTGCAGAAAAGTGGAAACACTTTAATGTATACTGTGATTTAAAACTTCATCAACGTTTTATAGGCAACATTTAACTACAATATTATCTATTGTTACAATATTTAATTATTTCATTTGTTTTGTTAGAGTTTTAATAAAAAACTATGAAGTCATTAGAAAAAGAAAACATTTCTAACTTGAAAAAAGTTCGAATATGGCTTAAAATTCAAAAGTTCAAAGTTCAAGAGAAAAGTGTAATTGAGAATATTTTCTACTATATAGTTAACTCGTAGTATGGTTAAACTGATAGCATTCTAGATTTATAATAAATATAAGTTATAATCATTATATTAGTATAGTCTAATCTAGTAATTAAATTTGTACTTTATCGATAGAAGGTAATAGGTAATAAGTAATCGATGAACTGTTGTTATAAAAATTAATAAAATGCTTATATCTGGACAATAATGTTAATTATTGGAAGACAAGAGGAGATTGCAGATGCGTTTCATTTACTTTACCAGTTTAAAATTTCGATTAAAGGTTTTGCAAAAATGAATTTATTAAAATTAAAATGAGCAAAAATATAATTACCACATTACAATTAGCTCTTAAAATATGATCACATAAAATACAACCTACTTTATGGGTTAACCGGAATATTCGAAAGATATATCGGAGGATATTTTTCAATCATAATATGTAAAACTAAAATCATTTCTTATTATCTAATATAGCTGGAGATATTTAGGTAGAATTCCCGAAAATAAACTTATGGGAAATTTATTCAAATTCTACTAATAGTCTTGAGACCAGCCGAACATTTCATGTGTAGTCCTTGGGATGACAGGTTTCAGTGATTTATCGTTAAAATCGTTTGCTGGAAATTAGAGCCACTGTTATATTATCTAAAGGTCAAGAGGGGTCAGGCAATTGGAGTTGTGGGTTAGCAGTGGTACAGTGAGCTACAGTTAGTAGGGGATGAGGTTATGTTAATCAGATCGATAAATAGAGAGATAGTACAATAAAATATTCTGCGTTCTTCTGCCTCTCTTCCAACGGACAAAATTATATCGTTAACATTGTCTCGTTCTTTCTGATGCTGCCAATATTCTTATTGGGTTATTGCCGTACCATTTGGATTCTAAGTCTCATGTCAGAAGGTCGTTCTAATGTCCTCATCTTTGCATCGACAATGTCACACCTTTGTAACTGAATGACAGTACTGTGCATTGCCGATATATGATTCCTTGTTTTCCTCACTTAACATTATTTTCTTCGCATTGTATACTACAAACTGTAATTTTTAATTGAGTTATTCGTCAGTTCCTCTCATCTCTTTCTTTTCATTCGAGTTTTAATTATTACTAATCATTATGGTATTTGACAGATTACATATGACATACGTTTATTGCCTTCTTTATTGTGGCAATGTCGGCTATCTATCGTGTTCATGATTTATCCGTATTTTAATTGGCCTACTCGGTGCAGAACTGGAAACTGGTTTTTTGTTTCAGGGTTTCTCATTTCTCACGTGGAGGAGATTGATTACGTATATACCAAAAGGTACAATATTATTCTCGACTCTGATTTTTTTGTGGTGCATTCAAAGGAAAAACCACTAACTGCGATCTATCTAGGGAATGGAATTTTATGGGTCCCTCCATCTAATTACAATATTTTGGATGTCGATAGAACAGAAATCCATACAGTTACAAAATCGTTTTTATCTATTTTAAATTAAAAAAAAATGGACAAGAAACGAACTTCAAATTCAGTGGAAGAAGAGGCAGGTGTCCTGAAATCAGGCTACGTTACAGCTTCATTTTCGCCATCCGTAAGTGTTTTTTCTGAAATGCTGTCATCATCTGCACTGAGCCTTTCATTAGGAATTAAATTTTTGAAGGCAATTCACCGTAATTATAGTCGTAAATTAGAAACTATCCTCATAAGTCTGAACGTTCATTATTCTCGTACTGAATCCTGGGCAGAATTATAATTTGTTTATATTTATCTTTTGAATTTGTACAATAAAAGGTAAGGGTTCTCTTCACTATTTAGCTTTATTTATAGGAAGAAGATTGGTATTTTTAGATTACAATAATATGCAATAAGTCAGACAGTCTTGATAATGTTTATTAATTTTTAGAAAACAAAAAAAATGTATTATGCAGTGTTGGGTCATCGAGCGCTTGAGTTACACGAAAGTGAAAAGAAATCTCAAAGGAAGAATAGACATCCGCGACATCTGATTGATCTCTCCACGTGTTTCAACATTAATCGGCATGTAAGCCGAATCAATTAATTTCACATGTGACTTTAAAATTACCGTAGCATTACTTCTGTTCACTTCAAAGGCTTTATCTATTAATTAATCCTTTTAGTAGAAACTTCTCATTGGAAGAAAAATGTAAATATTCATTTCTGAAAGAGCGCTGAAGTTAGCTTCTTAAGTTTTTCCAGGAATGAATGTTAGAATTTCTGATTCATTTGATTTTTGTATATAATCAGAATATTTTTAATTTGCATTTACCCTTCCAAATGGCTCAGATGCTACTTTTCGCAATATGTTTTATGTGAATAAATGTATTGGAGCTTTGAAAGACATTACACTTCTACAAAGTTAAGTAAATGAGGGCTGTATTATTCATTTTCTCTCCCAGACAATTTCTTAATTTCTTTTTCTGGGAGAATTCGTCTGATAAAATTGAATTAATCAAATTTCCTGCATATCCTGACAATAGACAAAATTTGTAGAAATTTCTAAGGGATGTTGATGTTAGATCATTAATGCAGTCAATTGCTATTCGTTAGTAAAGTCGAAGTTCTAATCTTCTGTTAAGTGCATATCATTTCATTGATATTGCCTACTAAATTATTTGTTGCAGTTTGATGGCCGATTGAAATACTGCGTAGCGATTATGACACCTGATGAAACACTCGTTTTGCGAGCGGAAACAGATGTATTAAGTGATGAGTGGTACGACATGTTAATGTCTGCAGTGATACCGGCACGAGCTCTACATCTTGGACGACCCGTTCTTGCTAATGAGTTTTTTGGTAAATTTTAGCCGTATTGTTAGCTTTTTTACGTACTTTTTTACGTATATGTGCCATTGAGTGTTTATGCCATTATGTTTTTATCCTGCACTGAGGTTCAGAAAGAGCGAATTGTTACCTAAATAAAATTATTTAATGAGTAATACCACGTGTCTCATCATCCAGTAGCCGTTTGTAACATGCGTTTGCACTTTTAGCGATAACACTGGGCAGAAATGGTTGATTATTTTCATAATTTTATAGATTGATTATTGGAAAACTCGAAATTCTCAATTTTAAGCTGCATTTCTCAAATTGAAAATTAATGAAAAACTGTGGTTCTTATTATTCTATCCGGTGGCTTATGTTCTTTCAGAAATAAATTTCGTCAAGAAAATTTTGTTGCTTCAGAATGTGCTTGGGATGTAACGATGGTTGAACACCCAAAGTTCCGGAAATCAGTTAAATCTTCGGAGAAATTGGTTAATTTGTGTACAAAAGATCCATCATTACTCGGACCACATCGATTATGTTTTTATCACCATACGATCATTTTGTGTAGGCGAGGTATTGAGCCAGCACCTTCGGATGCTCTGTCTCAGTCAGGTATTCCGCCGTTCAGAGTAACTGACTTCGTTGAATTTCCTGTAAGTTCTAAATATTTTTCGATTTAGAGGGTCAGAGTGGGGAATACGAATTCCTTAGTCGAAAGTCAGCAGTATAATTGTTAATCTTAGCTGAAGTTTTCTAGCCATTATAAATAACGTTGCTTGCTATTTCTCCGCCGTCTATAGTATGATGAAAATTGATAAGGTTCAAGACAGTAAATTTTACTTCATATTTCATTATACTACGGTGTAATTCACAAATCAGTGTACCATGTATATATAAATATGTTCAACTTTATATTTATTTAGTATTTTTTGCTGATCTATTTCTAGCGACAGTACATGGCAAGTTTTGGCTCCCAGGAAAGGTATTTTTTCATGGTGATGGGTCGCTCATCACCGTCCGGTTCCGGCGAACTATGGGCATTGTGTGACTGTGAAGAAGTAGCTGCTGATGTGCACAACAAATTGAATAAAATTATCGAAGAAGAGTGTGAGAAAAAGAAGAAAATGCCGAATGGGTTAGTTTCAGTTTTGGATTTCCTTTGTTTCATAATCCTAGTATTTGCTTTAAAGTTAAACTTCATGACTTTATATTTAAATCGTTAATTTGAAGCTGCTAGTGATAGCGACAGTCATTTGTTAACGACAATTTAGTTTGAAATAGCAATTACCCTTTCTAAATTTGAGCAAACTATGGTTAGTTTTCCTAGATATGTAAATATATCTTTGGTCTTATATCTTATGTTTCAGATATTGCCTTTCTTTATATATAAGATCGGAGAATTCAAATTTGCTTAGAGATTTTTCTTTCTTGTGGACAGTTCTTAAAATATTCTTGAAGAACAGTTTAATTATTCAGTAGAATATTCTGAAGCACATTATTTTCTTCGATTGTCTTTTTCAGACCATTGCTACATTTAACTTCTACGTATCATCGTGACCGACTTCATACACATAGTGGAATTCGAAGGACAGGAACCACAGCTTCAAGGTAATTTTGTTCATTGGTGTTTATTAGAAAAGGAAAGTGGCTGAATGTTAGTTTGCATCATCAAATGGCTGGTATTACACCGTTCATTTTTTACTAAATAGAAGTTCATTTGGCGATTTTCAACATTTGTAATTGTACGTGTAAATCTCAGAAAGGTCAAAAATCATTAATTTCTTCGAAACTTCTACCTGCTCTTAGTTTTAGAATAAAATCATGAAAATAGTAGTTTTTCGTATTCCGAAAATTTATTCCTCGTTATTTCAGAAAATTGACTCCTGATGAATTATCACTGAAAGAACGACGGGCCCAATTACGTGGTTACAAGTGGGCTGCGGATTTAATTCAAGAAAGAACACAGGAAGATACGCTGTCATCCAACGTTCCATCCTTTCTGTGGTTTGATTCAACCACTGCCAGGTACATTTTATGTTTGGTAATCATATAAAATTATTTTGCTGTTTTCCAGCAAAAAATTACTGAAAAACTTAAACGCTTATATCTAGTATTTCTGGATTATTTTTATCTGAAGTAGCACTATATTATTTTTTGATTCAACTTCAGATGCTAATTCCGGTGCGCCAGTGTACCATACGTCTTATTTTAGGTTTTCAAATTCTAATTTTGCGCCATGCATATTTGGATGTTTTATATTCGAATTTACTGCTTCCCCGAGAGTTTATTCTTACCACTTTCTAATGACCTAGTTTTTACAGAGGCAAATGTTTGAGGAATTCAGGATCTAGGCAAAATTCTTTAATTAAGAAAGTTGATCGAATGCGAAGTTTTGAAACGAAAATATCACTTCCCTCGTTATCAATAGTTGACCGGTCAGTTTAATTCCTTATTAATTTGCTGATTTTTATAATTTTAAAATTCAATTAAATGCAAAAATGGTTCGAACAATATAACTTCTTTACAGCATAGGAAGCGGAAAGAATAATAAGGGATTCCCAGGAGAGCTGTCATTCGAAAGTTCGGAGTGGAAGAATCTTTCTCGAGGTCATTCTTCATTTGCATCATCATCAGCTACAGAAGAAACTGAAGACAGGCATGTTTTCTCGTTATACCTGAGGTAATAATGATAAAAAATGTGTTCCAGTAATTATGTATCGTTCAGTTTTGACGCACCTCATGTCATTCTAGTTTATAATGGAAGCAAAGTGAAGATTCGGGAAAGTGTGTTTTAACTTTTTCATGATCTGTTCAGTATTGAATAGCACAAGAAAATTTCGTGAATTGAATGGCTGGGCAGTACAGGGGATGGGTAAACATAGAAAAGATAAGATCGAATATAATATGAATATAGATTCATAAATTTTTATCGTTTTCAATGTTTAATATTATATAATTTTTTCCGTTCCTCTTTTGCTTTTGGATCATGTTTTTGTTACATAAGTGAGCAGTCTTACTTATTAATAGAGGTTAATAATTTTTTCCTCAATTTTTTATTCTATCATTAAATCATCCTTAGTTATGGGTTATCCACGCACCGATGTTATTGCCATATGTGCTTGAAAACATTTTTTAATTTCATTTCTTGAATTTTTAATTTGAAATCAAAGAAAATTATAGCGGTGGCACATTACGAATCGATTTGGAAGAAGTAACCAATCCTGTTGAAACAAGTGTAGAGCGACAGATTAAAGCAACCATCGAGCGTACGCATCCGTTCATATTAAAACAATCCATGCCTCATTTGGAATCTCGCAAAGTTATCTCGATAACCAGTGGGCATCCCGAATGTGATAATCGAGCCAATGAGATATCATGCTCAGTTGCCGGAAGCACTAGTGCCAATAATGATTTCTTGCAAACAACACCCGGCGAAAGTAATAATTATTTACATTTTAAAGCTGATTGCAAAATTAAGGAAGGCGATGGCAGATCAAAACTTTTGAAAATATTCTTTTTCATTTGGAAAGTTTTTATGTATTTCGCTTGAAACCTTTACTTTTTTAGCATTATTAACGAAGTGACTGATACTGTTGTTTCCTTTTGAAATCTTGTTTAGCTATTCATTAAGCTGGCTGGCGGATGAGAGGTTACTAATTTTCTATTCACAATGAAAATAGGACATTTGCCATGTAACACAGGAGTCTGATTGTGTACAATCACGAAATTTTTGTCAAGTAGTAAGATAATGTATGTTAAGAAGTCTGATTAAGCAAGTTGTGCGCAACCACGAAATTATTATCACGCAGTGAGATAATGTATCTGAACCAACAATATATTTCTTAGGATTTTATTAGAATTTTACTATTTATATATATTTACTGTTGTTTTTGGCTAATTTTTCTTCTTTCTACATATCTACTTGTTTTTGTGCAGTAAATCACTCTTTTATTATTTGATATACTGAAAAATCTGCTAGCAATTTTGGATCGATATCATTAACCTTTTTGCGTAGAGTATTGAGTAGCTAGAGAATATAATAGTGCGCAGTAGCTGAAAAAATGATTGACAAAAAATTATGCTTAATTTAAAATTTTTGCAATTTTAATGGTGATTTTGGTCATTTTCAGCATCGGAGGATGCATTTGGAGATAATTTGGAGTATGCTCCAATGGAAATGAACTCATGGTCATCGGGAAGTGCATCGCATCTTGGTCTATTAGGAGGTGAGTAATTATAACTTTTCTTATAATCATTAAGAAAAAGACCTCATCAGTACGAATTGAGAGAAACTTTATATTACTGGCGAAATCATTTTATCCATTAAATTAAGTGTGAGATGTTACTGGAATCGTATGTTTTGCAAAAGCATGGTTTTGAGGCAAAAACATGTTTGGAAGAGATGGGTGCAATATAGGAGAAATTGGAGTGAAATATTTAACCGAATTTCTTCTCAATTAAATAAACCTTTCGCGATAAATCTTTGTATGTTTTTGCTTTCAGGAGAGCCACAATTCAATTTCGAGGAAGTACGATCGTATGTGTCGGACAGCAGCGATAGTTGCTATTCTTCAATCGCAGCAAACGGTGCACCGCGGTAAGTTTCTCATTTCGGTGGTGTAGTAACTACAGCGGTTCTCATCCTTTGATAGGCTTGCAAATATATTTTGCTCCATAAATTATTGTTCAGAGCATATTCTTTTGGTGCGTCTCACATTATACATCAGCAACCACGACGTTCAGGACGAAAACTAATGCATCCCGAACATCCCGAAAATGGTTCACCAGCACCCGATTCCCTGTAAGTGAAATGTCATTACTAATGTCCCGTAAATTATCATATCTTGAATTTCGTCAGTTTTCATTGGACTATATTTCTCTTCATTATTCCACAATTATTTTTTATTATAGGCGTAATAGTAGTACCTTACCGCAAAGCGAAGACATACATCATTCAAATAAGCCGTCACCATCAACATGTGCTTCTCAAGAGGATGCTCGAAAGAGAGCTTTTTCTTTAGGAAGCAGCAAATCATGGTTTCAGTATGTTAAATTTCAGATTATATATATACTTAATAAGTAATCCAGGTTCCAAAGAATACTCCAAACAATACAAGTTCATTAGCCTGGAAAAATTTATCCATTGGATTTTGAGCGAAAGGTCTTATTTGCAGGAAGCCGTTTCGAAAGCTATCTCGTGATTTTATGACACGTGCACATCGTTTATCGAATACATCCCAAGCATCATCAACGAGTTCAACTGGTCTATCACTCATTCATTCGCCGAACTCTCCCTTTTTACCCTCAACACCTCAAGCATTCATCGCTGTTGATCCATGTCCAGTATCTCGTGGTAAGTTGTATCTGCTTCGTTTTATTTTCCAGAAAAAAAACAAATATTTTCTTTTACGTTTTGTTCTTTTCTTTATTATTTATATCGCATTAATGACTTTACTTGTCGCATAATAAACAAATCATAGTAAAATGTATCAGAACAGATCGCTTAGCTGAATCAGGGCATTTCATTGTAGTATAAAGAGTATGTATATCTAACTGTCCATGGATATGCGACTTCAGCTCAAAGCAAACCGAGATGAACTATTTTGTGTTAGCCTGCTATTTTACTATCAAGCGAACTGCATGGTTTTATTAAACTTGGTTTGGTTTGATAGTCCATAATGAGAGGATTTGCTGTTAAGACTAAGTGAAATTTTCAATAAATAAGTTCTGGAAATTGAATTTTCCATCCTTTATTTAATCTAGCATGGAATACACGGTTACTTTACTCTTTGAATTATTTTATTTTTGTGAATTATGTAAATTTCAGTTCGATCAGGAAGCATAGGATCAGGACTTTCAACCCCATGTTCCAAACGTCATGTGAGTAATGATACTACAGGCGATCATGTCCCAGTGGATTTTGGTGGTGGTGGCTTATCACTCGGCAAATCTGCAAGCGGCTCATTACATAGTGTCGATAGTCCCTCAAGGTATATTGCTTTATCCACTTATTTAATTTGGCTTATTACGTAAGTGTTCCGTGGGCGAATACTATGGAAATTATAATCAATTATTAAAAATTTACGATCATATACAATGAGCATATAATAAGAATACGTACACTAACCATGTAACTATTATAAGTGACAAGTAATTTGATTTATTATATCATTGCTTTCCCAGATCACGAACTTCATCATTTGGTTGTGGACAACGGTGTTATGGATTGCGTGATACAAGCGATATTATTGTGCACACTACAGATGCAGAAACAGAATATACTTCAGCGATTCCGTCACGATGTACATATGAACGATGTAGGGAACAACGTTAGTTATGACTATCGTTTTTGTATGTAGCAGTGATTATCTCATGCAGCTTTTTTGACTCATTAAATAGAATAAAATTAGCTGTAAATTGTAAATTCTAAAAGAGATTATAGAACACAGTGAGAAATATGAAGTTTAATTATAAAAAACTTTGAGACTGGCAATTTTTACTCAATTTGTAGTTTTTTGAGGTTATTTCATATTTTAGCAATGCTAAAGTACTCTCAAATGCAAAATATTTTGTTTATCATTTCTTTCATACCTTTCCAAAAGGCATTTCTTAAAAGCTAAGTTAAGGAGGTTTGGTGAATAGCGACGAAGCATTATGCAACTCTGCGGTACTTTAAGCTACTCCTAAATATGCTATGCCTTTCGTGAGCCTTATTATTTGCAAGAAAACTTTCCCACAACATGCGGATTAGATTAAGATTATCATTGTGATGGAAGCAGTTTCAGTCAACAGCTCATTATGCGAATTTGATGAAGCAGACGATTATGTTATAAGAGATCCGGCAAATGCATCGGATTTCCATATCAGTTCACCACGCATTAGTCATGATGGACAACTATGTGGGAATAATTATTCGGATTCTCGTAGTTCACAGATTTTCGAAACGATACAAGAAAGTTTGTCAGGAAGATCCTCTCCTGCAAAGTATGTTAACTTTTGTAATTCTCAATTGTAGCGATTTTAACACACGTGTTGCTCAACTAAAAATATTGTTGTGCTTTTTTTGGTCTTAATGAATGCAATTCAGTGAAAATTAGTAGAATAAAATTAGAAGGAATTGTGATTTCAGAGATAGTGAATCAATTGGGAGTCACGAAGAGCAAGAAGTTTGCGATAAAACGGATAGGAAGTCCCAAAACAATAGATTCATCGGAAAGAAAGTTTGTAAGGAAGATGGTGGTGGTGCTGACAATGAACGAGAACAAAAAAAGATATTGAGTTCTGATCCTGATTTAGAATTTGTTCCTGTGGATGTAAGCTTCCATTTTATGTCGATTAAGTAGTACTAGTGGGAATTATTCATGCATAAGTTTGAATCAGAGCGGTAATTCTAACTGATAAAGAAAAAACAATTCATCAGTGCAAAAGATGTTAAATTGAGCGGACACTCTCTCTTTGCCATATCTCTCATTCCCCAGTTTGGTATGTTGTATTCAAAGTTTGATGCAGTTTCGCTTTTTAGTATCATGACAATGAGTAACTGAGCAGTCCATCTATTTATAGGAAGAATGAGATCCATATAATTTAACCAAACTTTATGCTCACGATCTATATATTTTGAGTTTTGAAACGCTTTCTTTGCAGCAGTTAGAATCTAAGCGTAAAATTCAACTGAAGCAAAAGTTATACAGATTTTCTTCATCTGAAAAGGTGCGAAAAAGATAGTATGTTTTGCAGCCATCTCAGTAATGTTTTGAAAAGTCGAACAAATTGTTGCGGAATGGAGAAGGATCTCATTGGAGAAATTTGCTAACGTTTTGTAATGAAGTTTGTCGTTTTAAAAGAAGCAGTTGTTAAGGAAAGTGAATGTAATTTCCCTTGTTATATATAAATATATTTCAAAATTATTGAACTCTGCAATTTTTTTCACTTTTACGAGATTCTTCCCCATCATATTCCGTAATCATGCAATTTTTTGTATGTAAAAATTTGAAATATGAATGTTTATATTGCTTATTTTTCGTTTCTTCGACGATCTCAGAAAAAATTTTTCTCAATGTCCTCTTTGTTCTTATTCACTACCGAAGTGTGATACGAAATTAAGTTAATCATTATCTGCTTTTGGATATAGTGCATAAAACAAGGTATAGTTCAGTGAAATAAGATTTCACTCTTCGTTTCACCTTCCTTCCCTTTTTGGATAAAAGTTTCAATGACAGTGCGCTGTCAGTTTTGAGAGATCTCATTTCATTGTCATCATGGACTTTTTACTCGAAGAGTAGCTCAATTTATAAAGCTTCAACTATTGACATTATTATATGGCATTTTCTTAACTGGATGATAGTAATTGTTCTGTCAGCCATTGCTTTGCAACACATTTCCATGTTGTCTGGAATAGATGTCATATCTGTCCATCGTCCTAATGAAAAAGTAGAAGCCGCTGTTTGAAGACATCGAAAGACTCTCATAAAAAGCCATCGTCTTCGTTATTACAGTTGAGATGTTTCAGTGGTTAGCGCGTAACTATAAAATTTCCGTTGATTGCAAACCAATCTTTTTGAGGAAGCAAAATTCAGTCCATTCATTTGCATACCAAATGTGTTTTGCGCTATTTCCTTTTTGTACAATGTTTTGTCTGAAAACTTACACATCGCAATGCTCTAATTTCTGATATCCTATAATTTGACAAAAACTTGCACATCGCAATGCTTGCCCGACTGTATTTATTTCAAAGCATTTCCGCTAGCGGGAATTTTTTCATGATTTTTATCACTAATTGTTTTTTTTTAAATTTCTAATGATAAATGTTGCGTTTTTTTTTCGTTGTTTCTTGGGAATGCATAAAACATCGGCTATTTATTTTGTGATTTAATTAATTTCCGATATGTGGTTAAATTTCTTATTATTTTCTGGATCGGTGTTATATGATGAATTCCGCTAGAAACTGACATGTTGGATTTAACGTTGACTGTTTTAAGTTCCATTTTCGCTCATTACAGTGGGACACAGTTTTGTCCTTTTGAACTCTTGGTGTCCTTTAATTTTATTTGGTCTTAAAACGTGTCTGTAATTTTTGTACAACTTTAATAAAGGGTATAAATTTTACTCTTAAAGATTTTCACATTTTGATATTGAGGGAATGGTTTTATAAGAAGGAACAGGAACTGTAAAATTTTAGATCTATAACTTTTGAATTCATAAGGAGTTGAATGATTAGAACAAGTCATTGTATTTTGATTATCATATACGATACCGACATTATATGAATGGAAAGATTAGTTGGTCATCTCATGTATGATTACTTGTACAGAGTGGACAGTAATTAACGATTTTAGTTTCAGAAATAAGTGAAGGATAATATTTCATGATTGGTAACTGTTTGAATTTGATGCAACTCAGATACGTAATAGTAATGAAATTTGCATATTTTAAGGAGCAATTAATTTTGACTATTATTGCTCTACAAAAAATCAAATTGATTTAGCTGAAATGTAATGTTATCTCATTATTCCGTGGCAGTCGGTTGCTTAGTGTGATGTGTTGCGGAAAGCGTAAAGAGAGTGTTTTTTTTAATATTTCACATAATTTATCAGTGTTACAAGAAATATCGAATGCTGATAAATATTATGAGGAGATTATCAGTATATAATAAGTATTACTACTATCATTTTATTTTATTTATATCAACTCCTAACATGGATTGATAAAGTTAGCATTTAATTGATAGCAGTAATGATTAGAAGTGTAGCAATCTATTTATTATATTTACTTGAATACAAAATTATCGTTACATTATTAAAGAGTGTTAGGAAGCGTGGAAAAATGATGCATGAATTGGAAACAAAGACAAACAACTCTTGCTTAACACTATCAAAAACTATTAATGAAGCTGATGATGATTTTTTACGACGACAACAAATGGGACCAGATTCACTTCATCCTTCAAATACTTTGTAAGAATGATAGATAAAGCATGAAATTACAAGTTTGGGTAAATATCTAACATCGGTAGTTTCATAAAAATTCATTTGAATCATACGGATGATTATTAAAAATGATGAAATAAATATTTTAGTATAATAAAAATATCATAAATAATTGATTCAAAAAAAGATTACTGGAATAGATCTTAGTATAACTTAATTTTAGAAATATCATAAATAAATTGATTTAAAAAAGGGTTACTACTGGAAAAGATCGAAAGTAATGGGTAGAATGCACTTCAGATTCTCTCCTTCACATATTACAGTTTCATAAGTGAACATTTTTCTTCTTTTATAGAATTTCAAGGTCAAAAGTTAGGAATGAAAGAATGAAAAATTGGCGAGCAAAAGAGGAAAGTGAAGAGGATGAGGAGAAAGAGACATATGAAAATATCTCATCAATTGAGGAAATTACTATTAATGATTTGGTGAGTTCATTTTTTCTTCCCTTTAATTTCTATCAAATTATTTACCGAATAATACCTGATATGTGATTACTCATAGTACAATTAAAGGTCAAACATAAGAGATGTATAGAAACAAAAAGAGATCCTTTAAATAAAACTTTTTCAAATCACAATCATAACTGTATCCCTTTGATCCATCCGTTAACAATTAAATGATGTACAGGAATTTATTTTAGAAATGAATGACATTTGACATTTAAATTTTGTCTTTCTTGTTACCCAATTTTTCAAATTAGTAACCAATGAAAATTTATCTTCCTTAAATCATTTGAGGTGAATGAATGGATTGATTGTATGCTCAACAAAGGTATAAAAGGTTTAAACGATGAATTCATCAAATTATGCACCAAAACGAAACCATCACCGAATAATTATACCATTTTTACGGCTAATCAAAATTCCGGTGAATTTAAATTCCGGTATTTTATTGCCTTAAAATTGTGCTGGAAAAGTTGGCATTCTTCTGATTTGCATTTGCAAGATTCTTAAGGCCTTAATTAATTTTGGCCATGTTTGAACCTTAACATGATTATAACTACGATTCTAAAAATCAAAATTTTTCCAAAGCCTTCTAATTTTTCGAATCTTCCAAGTATAAAAAATATTGTTAAGGTCGAAATCGTTATCAGAATGTAGTTTGTTTGAATAATACACGCGTTAAACTTCACAATCATCCAAGTGGTAATGATTATATTCATGCCAATTATGTCAGTACACCTTTTTCGGAACGTCGTTTCATCTGTACTCAGGTCATTTCATTATTTCTTCTTCATTAAATCGGTAGCATGAAAAAATAAATTAAATTAATTTAAGTAGAAATCTAATTGCAAATTTGATATAAATTTTATATTCAACAATTTTGCAGTTAATTTATTAATAATAAACAATACACAGAATGAAATTGATGAAAAAGATTTGAAGATTTGAAAATAGAATTTTGGATTATTATTCAACTCAATCAGAAATGATGTTAAATTTTGTAAAATTTTTAGGCTCCTTTAGATTATACCATTTATGATTTTTGGTTTATGATAATACAAAACAAAGTGAAATATATTGTTATGTTGACAAATTTTATTGAAAATGGTTACATGAAATCAACGCCATATTTTCCATCTGATGCTAATAGAACTGAGAATTACAACGGTGTCATAGTGAAATGTCTTACAGTAAGTTTATTTGAAATTCCAATGAATAGGAATTTCATTTAATGACTATATTTCTCTGATTTTCTTCAAATAACTGCTTTCTCTCCTTTTTTTTGGTCATTTCATATCTTTATTAATAATATTTTTCAAATATTTTCTGACATATCAGTGAGAAATTTTTAGTGTGAACGTCGTACAGATTTTGAATGTGAAGTGTGGGAGCGATCGTTGTTTATTGAATTGCCAGGTATGAAATCAACGGTGGTGACACATTTCCATTGGACTGATTGGCCTGATCATGGCTTACCTAATAGTTACTCGTGTCCATTACAGCTTCTTGAAGTGGTAACTTTTTAAAACATTTCGTTTACATCTTTTTTTCTGCAATAAGTATAAGTAATGAAGCCATTAAAAATACTTATTAAATTTCAAAAAAAACTTTTAAATTTAAAATTGAAAGTTTAAAAATGTTATGTATATATTTTGCATTCTTCAAATCAAAAATAAATTACAAACAAACCATAATGCTATCCAAATACTAAAATCTCAGATTAAATTTTTAATTTAATTAACAGGTACGAATGTCTGCAACACCAATAGTATTACACTGTTCTGCTGGTATTGGACGTACCGGTTGCCTAGTACTCATGGAATCGGTTCTCGAGAAATTAGTATACAAGCAAATTTGCTCTGATATGGGTTTCCTGCTCACTCAGTTACGAAGACAGCGTGCTAATTTGGTTCAGAATAATATTGTATATACATTTTAATTCATATAATATTTTATTTGTCATATTTGTAAAAGATTTTAAAATGAGAACTATGTATATATACATGCATTTATGCTAATTACTACAGCAATATATATTTTTTAATTAAATATATGTATATATTGTTGTAGTAATTAATGCATTTATGTTAATTAATCCTAACAAATCTTTTTTGTATTATTTCTTTTAAGCAAAAATTTTTTAAAAATATTTTTTAGTTTTTCTTATTTTTAAAATATTATTTTAAACATTTGTTTCTTTGTTATACTGTAATTCTAGCAAATCTAATTTCAACTTTTAATCAAAATATTTGATGGTTTTTTGAAAGAGAAAAAGAACAAACTTTTTATCATTCTTTATTATCATTGATTAATTAATTTAATCATTCAATTCTATACTTAATCACTTTAAAACAACCTCTTTCATTTATTGGAAAAGAAAAACAAAGAAACTAATTAACTAATTGAGAAGCTTTATATTCAATTAATATATTTTTGTTGACATTCTACGTCTTCTGCTAATTATACTTATCACATCTACAAACATGTTATTCTTGCAGCAATACCTTTATGTGCATCGCGTTTTGCTACATTTTTTTATATTAACTCGACCTATCAAGAAAATGGATGAAGTGAGCGAATTTATCACAGAATATAATCACTTCGTATTTGGTGGACGCCGTAGAAGAAAGAAATTATTGCATCGTTCACATAAAGTACTTTAATTTTTAAAATTTACATAATTATTGATGATTAAAGGCTTCTATCGAATTATTTCAAATAAATTTTAGGTTTTGTAAAAATAAAAAAGAAAAATTGAAATTAAAAATAAGTTGAAAACAATTGAAATTTTTGAATTTAATTTTATAAATAATATGATATTTGCTTGTAAAGTTTGTTTACACTTATTTTTCCTTTTATTATAATTAATTTCAGCTAATGTTGAAGCCTAAACGTGTCGAAGTTAGCAATAATTGAAATAATTAATTACAAACTTTGTAATTCTTTTTGATAGAAGAATAAAAGCAAGCAAATTTCTAATGCTTACACGTTGTATCATTTATAAAACAAAATTTTGTAAGTTTAATAAATTAAAACAAAAATTTTAATTAACTTAATTCTTTTAAATGAATGACAAATGACATCGGATATATTTATTTTAGGAATGTAAAAAAATGTTATCATCCAGAAATGATAAGCTTTAACATGTGCATAAATAAAGTACATCATTTAATTAGCTCATTGATGAATGCAACTCTGTGATATTAAGGCTCATTTAGGTGTAATACAGAAAATGATCTCTGTGATGTTAAGGCTCATTTAGTGTAATACAGAAAATGATATCTGTGATATTAAGGCTCATTTAGTTGTTGCACAGAAAATGATATCTATGATTTAAGGCTTATTTAGGTGTAATACAGAAAATGATGTATATGATATTATGGTTCATTTAGGATTAAGGTTCATTTAGGTGTAATGCAGAAAATAAAATCTTTGATGTTAAGGCTTATTTAGATGTAATACAGGAAATGATGTCTGTGATATTAAGGCTTATTTAGGTGTAATACAAAAAAATGATGCCTAAGATATCAAAGATCATTTCACACTAATGTATCTACCAGAAAGATATTTGGTGATATATGTAAATGAGAAACGACTATGTAATGATATGGAAAATGAAAATAATTATCAAACAACCTGTACTTTCTTCATTAAAATAGATATTTGAGAAATATGTTGCAAAAAGTAGCTTATTAATCACCTATTCATTAAATTCCTATTTAATTAAGTTTGTCTTTAATTTCAATTACAATATTTTCTTCCGTTCATTATTTCACTTTCATCACAATAAAAATTAAACAATGAAGTGAAACATCAAAGAAAAGTAAAGAACAATGAAAAAAAGTGTTCATTTTAAATTCTTCAAGCAAAATAATTAATTAGTTAAATAAATTGAAATTCAAATTTGCTACATTTTTTGTATAAAATTCGATTCATTGATTGTATAGAAGTTATATTTCGATGAACTAAGCATTTGTTAGATTTGATTTTCTCGGCGATTTCAACCAGCCACTGTCACTAACAATTTTAATGTAATATACGAAAGTTTAAAAAAAAAAAACGCCATTTTTAAATTTTAAAGAAATTTTAAGAAATATGTTAGCTACGATGTATCGGTATAAATCAATTTTGGAAGTAAGCTTAAATGCTACTATCGTTGAAAATTTCTTTTCAACAACACAAAATATTGAATGAAAGCAAAAGAAAAAAAATAAAACAACTTTTAAACTTTAAAACTAAAAGTTTGCTCATTAGGATGCAGTAAAATTTATTTTAGACAATTGATTTTCGAAAATTTAAAAGATTGGTCTGAAAATATTCATCGGTTTATTCACTCGATAATTTATTGCCAGCCATTTTCCTTCTTTAATGCAATTGACAATAAAGAGAGAGAGAGAGAGAGAGAGAGAGAATTGTTGGCGCATTAATCCTATCAATGCGCATTAGTCTTTTCAATTATATAAGAATTGACAAATAATGAAAATCAAATAAACTTATTAAGTAATACTTAATTAATCAATTTTAGTTTATATTTTTCATTCTTCATTTTTTGTCAATTGGAAATTTGTCCACTAAAATGAAGAAAAATTAATTTATCCACTTGTATTCAGAATACTTCCAAATTTTCCAGAAATAGATATTTTTACTTTTCTCCTTGCATTTTCAAATCTATTTTCAGATACATTAATTAATAATCAGAATTACCTATTCATAATTGATAATGCACTAATTGATAATCAGAGAAACGATCTTTTTCATTTATCCATCTATTTAATATTTGAATAAATTATTACAATGAATGTATTCGAATTCATTTTTGTTTTTTGCTTATTAATTTAACTGAAAAAAAAGAATAGAAGATATGATAAAAGATAAGATATCATTTAATTCACTTAAAATGAAATAAATAATTGATTTACTCATTATGATTGCATTTTCTTATTGAATTTTTGTGATGAGCGGCATGATATTTATACTTCTACTGAGAATATTTTTAGTGTCGCAATATTTGATTACGACATGTTTACCAATTCTTAGTACTGTTATATGGGTGTCACTAGAATGTTCACGTAAAAAATTTCAATTGACCCCAGCTGTACCACTTGTTCAAGGACCAGAACATTTAAAAGTGGTCAGTTAAAAGTTACAAATCTTTATCATAATTGTTATAATTAATTAAGTAAATAGATTCGTCATATTTCTCAGAAATTGTCTTTTTTCAACAAAGTTGAAATGTGTTGGAACTATTTGTGAAATTTTGACGAAGAAATGACAAATCGATAGTTCTCTTTAAAAGATATATATTATACAAACAAATAACTCATTCATTTGATTTTTAGGATGAAACGCAAAGAAGCACAAATTCTCATGTTAAATCTCCAAAGACAAAGGCATCATTAAAATTATATAAAATTTCATTTTTAAAAGGTCAGCAAATAACCTTCCACTAACTTTTAACTTCTTCTAAAACCTTACTGAAATTATTGGAATTGCTTGAAAACAAAAGAAAAAAAATGAAAGATTTATTTTGCTCTACAATTAATCAAAATAATTTGAATTATTTGAAAGGATAAATTATAAAAATTAAAATTTAACTTTTTGTTAAAATTGATAAGTTGGAAAATTTGCTGAGATAGGTTAGTTACAGAGAAAGATGAACCTAATCCTACAGCAGCATCTTTAAAATGTGGCCGAACGCAAGCTTCTCGCACAACACCTGTAAGTTAAAATATTACATTTATGATACCTATGAATCATGTTAAAGATACTGAAGATATCACGTTTAAGACATCTATGATATCACGTTTAAAATCTTAAGATATCACGTTTAAGACATTTAGGACGTCATGTTTAAGACATCCATGACATACGTTCAAAGTACTTAAGATATCACGCTTAAGATACTTAAGATATCACTTTTAAGCTGTTAATTCTGATAAGAGAATTCATAAACCACATAAATTCAGTTTGAATTAATTTCATATCTCTCTGATTACAGGTTTTACCATCCGATGATACGATAAAACATGTTGAATCATTACCGGAAAGTTCAGAGTAAAAATATACAATTCAAATTGTAAAAAAAAATGTTCATTTTTCATCGCTATGTATATAATGATGACAATAATCATTTAATAAAAGTTTTATTCATCAATTTAAGTGTTAATGTTTGTTGAAAAATCTGTCACTAAAGCTGGCATTTAAACACATATTTTTATTCATCAAAATTTGCAATAGTGGCACTTATTTCATGGAAGGTATGTTATATGTATCTTCAAAAATTCTATTTAATTAACAAGCAATTTCTTATCAAAGGTATAAATTAATAATTAACGATAAGATAAAGAAATGTTAAATTAATAGACTTATCACTTAAATTACTAGATTTATCACACACAAATCACTTAACTATTGATATGACGGAAATTTGTCATACTTTTTCAATACCTTAGAAAAACCTTAGCATTTTTTAAATACCTTAGCAAAATACCTTTCAATACCTTAACGTCTTCTTGTCCCTTCTGTATAACACTAATTCATCCGTTATGTTTTTATAACATTAAAGTATTTACGTTGTAATGTGTTCAAAAAAAATTTTTTCTTACTCCGATCCGAAGATGAATGAATTTCTTTGTAGTTAAAATTATACTTAAAACAATAAATAAATATTAGCTTAAGCTTTACATAAACTGAAAATACATTCATATATATTCACAACTAAAATGCTTTTGAATTTCAAAATTAAACAATTTCAAATACAAAAATATTTTTAAACATTTTAATCAAATATCATAGATTTTTAAATTTACATAAAGCATGCTTTTATGTTATTTAAGATAATAAATGATGATAGAGTGAAATGGATGAATGAAATGGATTGTATGAATTAATTCCTATTTTAGAAGCGAAAATGGTAGTAGCAAAAAAGTAAGTATATATTTCTTAATTAACTGCAAAATTTTTTTTCACAAAGAAAGATCTGGTTGTTATTAATTTGAAACCATAAATGACATATTCACAAATAATATAAATTATAATTTATTGTTTGAATTTAAAGTTATGTTTTATTATTGTCTTTTTTATAAATAAATTTAATTACATATTTAACACAAAGTTTGTTGCAAAATTATTTCATTTCTTTTGGCATTTCAAAAAGGGAAAATTTAGCTGGCAAAAATATTTTTGTGTGATATTTGTTGATAATAAATTTTTATAAAATTATTTTCTAAATTTAAATATTTATTAAAATTGGATAATTTCTTAAAATATCACTTCAACAATTTATTGTATTGCATTTTAGATTTGACCCGAAAATGATATATAATGATAAGAGTGAAGTAGTCAAAGTAATTTTAAAATTTATAAGAGAAATTTCGCATTTCAAATTTGAATTTCATTTCTTAAATCTTCTTTACTGGTATTATCCTAAAATAAACTTGAAAGTCTTCACTTCCGAATATAATTTTTAAAATTTCATAAAAGAACAAAGGCACTCATTTGCAAATTTACTTAATTAAAATTTTGCAAGAGATGAAAAATTGTGTTATGTATGTGTATGTGTGTGTGTGCGTGTGTGTGTGTGTGTGTGTGTGTGTGTAAGTTTGTTTAGAATAAATTTAAAGATAGATTGTATAAGTTTCGAAGAAAATGATGATAAAGCGGGTGAAAAAAGGTGAAAATGATTGAAGAGGGTAAGAAATAAAATGCTGCCTCTCGAATATTCTTTTTCAAAACGAATCACTTCTTTATATATTTTAGTATTTTATTCTTTCTTATCAGTTGATCCCTTATCAATTGCAATCAGTGTTAATTGATTATCAAAAGGATAAAAAAGTTCTATCACTTCAACAATTGTTTCTTTTTTACTCTTTGTTACTCTCTCTTTAAAATTTCTTTTAAATACTCTTTACTATAACTTAATTAGTATTTTTATTATCATCACGACAGCTAATTTATATTAATAAATTAATTTAGGGATTAAAAATGTGTTTAATACTTATATTCTTCCATAGTGGGCTTAATTTTCATCAGTGTCGAAATTTCATCATCGAATTCAACAATCGGTGCTATATAACAATAGGTGTGGTAAACAAAAATTTGCTTTATTTTAGCTTTCTCGTCGGGTTTTTGTGTAAACGAACAGGCGATAAGATGTTTGAATGCACGAAATTCTATAAATGATAACTAATGAATAAAATAGATAAGAGAGTATACACTAAAATAAGCATAAATATAAACATGAATATGATTACGATTTTGCTAAGTCTATTAGATTGATTACGATTTTGCTAAGTCTATTAGATTGATTACGATTATGCTACGTCTATTAGATTGATTACGATTATGCTAAGTCTATTAGATTGATTACGATTTTGCTAAGTCTATTAGGTTCTATTGGGTGTCCTGAAAAAAATCCGGTCTTTCTTTATATCAAAACAGAGATGAAATGCTGGACTAAATAAACCGACTAGTCTTCGTAAACAATATTTAACATTATTTTATTCTATTCGTACGTCTTCATTTTCACGCTTTACGTGAGCATATCACATTTAGTTTATATATCTATAGGATTTCTATTCTATCCAAAGCATTGATTGCTATAATTAAAATATTTTGCATAGCTATAATAATTAAAGGCTATATTAAAATATTTTGCATATAAAAAGGATTTATGACTAATTGATAAAAGTTTTCCATTAATAATAGCATTGGATTATTTCTTGTCCTTGATGAACTGTTGAAATATTATTTAAATTTAGAGTTTGCAAAAAATTTTTTAACAAGAAAAAGAGAGACGGAAATATTACGTTAAAGTTTCTATATGTTTCACCGTATATAGCTTATCATAATTCATTTAGATATCATTTCTTTCATTATCATTTATTTCATTTATCATTTAGATAACACTTTTTTGATTATCATTTAGATATCATTTTTTTGATTATCATTTAGATATCATTTTTTTTGATTATCATTTAGATATCATTTTTTTGATTATCATTTAGATATCACTTTTTGATTATCATTTAGATGTCATTTTCTTGATTATCATTTAGATGTCATTTTCTTGATTATCATTTATCATTTAGATATTTTTTTTGATTATCATTTACTGAGTAATGAAATGAATCGTTTTTTATTTAGATTAAGAAAATGAAATTAATTTCTCAAAAATAATCTTTCCATGAGGTGAATGGAAATGAGTAGTAATCTTCTACGAAATAAATAGGCAAAGAATGAATAGCTTTCAATGATTGTATTAGCTCTTTTGTTTTTTGAAATTTTACGTTGAAAAAAATTGAACTTTTTTACAGGCAAATTTATCAAACAAAAGGAATGGCAACAAAAAAAGTGAAAATAAAAATAAACAAAAGTGCAAGAAAATTAAGTAATAAATTAATAAATTAATAAGTCTAACAAATAATCGAAAATAATTCCAATATACAATCAATTAATCAATCAATCAATCGATCGATCAATCAATCGATCGATCAATGATAGATAATGGAATAGAAAGTATAATGGAAAAATATTTGTAAAATTAATGTACAATCAAAAATGCAACAGTAAATAAAGTTCTAAAATTATAGTTCTAGAAGATTTTTTTTTACTACGGCCAGAGGATCCATAATCTAACTTTTGTTTATGTTTGTATGTGTGTATATGTGTTTGTTGTGTATGTGTGTATGTGTGTGTATGTGTATATATATATATGTATGTGAAATGATTAAAGTATTGAGCTGGCCAGAAAGGATCATTAATCATTGGATTACAACCAGAGGTTTTAAAAGATTTAAAAAAATGTTCAAAAGGGAACACATGACCTCTCTGTTACCTCTAAACTACATTGTTGAACGAGAAGACTATGAAGTTTTCTTTTCTCTTTCTTTTCCACATATATCATACATATCCTACTACAATCTTTTTCTTTTTTAACTATTTGTTAATTAATGAAATTAAAAAATTTACATATTTTAATGAAATATATTCATATTGTCTTATTCTTTTCATTATCACCACTTTTCCCTTTATGTAAGCGCGGTGAATTATGCAGCATTTCTACGCCATTTTGCATTTGCAACATAATGAAAGGAAAGTATTGGAAAAATTAATATATTCTGCATTGTTATAAGTGACAAAATTATTCCCACTGGGAATTCTGAGATTTCGATGTTCGGGTTTCACACATATTCAAGGAAAAGAAAAAACACGTATGAAAATAACGGGAAAGAGATAAAAGAGATGAGGAGACTGTTGTCACTAGTATTGGCTCTATCCATCCATCAGGCATTCTTATTCAGGAGAGATCGGAAATGCATTTAGCATCTGCGATCAGTGCCATTCATTTATCCTTCATTACAAATTTGTCACTATATAGACACAACTTTTTTTTTCACCGTTTTCCTGTAAGTATTGATGTACTCGTATCGCCGGGCGGTATTGTACATATGATGAATATGCGGCGAATAATAGGCTCTAATTAAGTAATGAACAAATAAATGTGTTGCAACTTTCATTGGAAATTATTCAATGAGCCAAATATTGACGAGCCTTTTTACCTTTGTAAAAGTTTATTTCCAGTTTATGCAACAATTAATTGCAAACATTTTTTAGTTAAAATTTTTGAAGAATATTTATTTGCAAATAAATTATAATTTTGAATTTTGCTTTAATTTTTTCGCCTTCCTTTTTTGAATTCTTTCATTAATTTAAGGTGAACAGAATAGTTTTATGTTTCTTTACAGTAAGATATCATTGAAACAATTCTGAAAATTATTCACTCATAAAAGTAAGAAATGATAAATTTCGTGTTATACCTTCCGTAGCATTTTTTAGCAATGTTGAATTCACTTAAAACAAATAAAACTTCGAGAAGAGTTCTGTGGGGGGCGCTATTTGTTAGCAATTAAGGAATTAGTGGTTAAATTAGTGAGGATGGATAATTAATAATACTATCGCAGTGAACATAAATTATTCGTCGAATTTAATCATTGAAGTGAAAACTGTTAAAATTTCATTTACTAAAATATCAATTGTTTAATAAATGAAATGATTGTAAATTAAAATTTAGTAGTTGAAATGAAACTTTTTGTATTAACTATATTTCATTTCATTAAATATTCCTTCAATAATTATAAATTTTTTATTCTAATTTGTAAATCTGTAATTTCGACACTTTTTTTGAAAAAAAAATTTACAAAATCTATAATTTCTATTTTGCAGGAAAATTGGAAATTCATTTATAGGAGCAGAAAAGATAAACTCTAAAACAAACATCTCAACAATGCGTATATTAATTCTTCGTATTGCTATCACAAAACTTATACTAATATTTTTTTATCATCACGATATATCAGTAAATTGTATTCATGAAAAAGTTGCTCCTCCACCTGGTACATCATCATTAACATTTGTATTCGATACTACTGGTTCAATGAATGATGATTTAATTCAAGTGCAAGATGGTGCAAAAAAAATCCTCGATACTGTACTTAAACAACGTGAAAAACTTATATACAATTTCGTCTACGTACCATTTCATGATCCCAGTAATTCTCTTAATTATTTATTGCAACAAAGTAGGATAAATTTTTTAAATATGAAATAATTAAATAATTATAATAATTAAACAATAGGATCATACATTAAACAACATTTTACATATCAGATAATAATATTTTGTACAAAAATTCGTTAGTTTGAAAAAAAGCAAATAAAAGTAAATTAATGAAAGAATCGATTTGGCATTTGAAGAAAAACGGTATTTAATGAATATAAAAATATGTGGAGAGATAGATCCCGGATAATTTAATATGAATAAAAACCGGATAATTTAATAAGAATTTAAACTAACTTAATTATTTGAAAGTGTAAACAAAACGTCAAAGATAGTATGAATAAGTTCGAATCCGAATCAGTTGAACAATTCAGGAATATTTATATAATTAAAATTAAATTTTTTTATTGAAAAATATTCTTTGGTTAAAATAGCATGAAAAATTAGCTTTTATGCTTTTCGCATTTTTATATCGAATATTTTCAACAAAAAAAAAGTGAATTTATTTTCCTAGTGATGTGCAAATTAGAGAAAGGTAAGTGACAACATCAGGTCTACCTGTTCAATTAAGTACAGCAAATAAATGTAAATTTTAACTTCAAAAATTTGAACTTATTTCTATATCATTGCTTTTCTACACATTCATCTCAGGATTATTACATTCATGTTAATGTAATAATATTTCTCATCAATAAGTTTTTATTGGTGATAAGATATAAGTAATACGCTGCTCATTGTAAACAGCTCTACCAATATCTATAAGATTAGTTATTTATCTTTTACTTACTTTTACACTTTTACTTACTTACTTTTGCTTACTTTTATTTACTTGCCTTTCAAGTTTTCCAAATTTTCTATATTTGTGAAATTTTAGGAGTTGGGCCAGTGTTTTCTACAACTGATCCGAGAGCTTTCCAAAGGCATCTCAATTCTGTACACGTAGTAGGTGGTGGTGATTGCCCCGAAATGGCACTTAGCGGTTATTTCATTTAACTCTGAAACTTTTCACAACTGCAAATGCAATAATATTTTTAGAAAATAATTTGGATGAGAAAGAAAAAGAAATTCAGTATGAATTTCAGTGAATCATCCGAGAATTTGATATTAAAGATTTGATTAATTTAATGATTAATTCGCTTAAATTACAATTATCGTAAGAAGTTAAAGTAAATTATAGGCTTTTAATAAGTATATACCATTTCAAAGAAGTAAGTTATTAAATGAAATCGAATGTACATTTGCTAAATCTTTCCAGGTATTCAATTGGCCTTAACAGCTTCACTACCTGCATCTTATATATATGTGTTCACCGATGGACGAGCTAAAGATTATCATTTAGAGGATCAGATCTTGAATTTGATTCAGGAAAAGCAAAGTTCTGTAAGTTTTCTTTGAGGACTAAATAAAAGGAAAATTTTCTGTCCATTAAATAAGTCGAAACTTCACAGCTATCCTAACATATAGGCATGTAAAAGAGTGCAATAGGACAGATAGATTTTTACGCTTCATCACTACATTCTGTGATAAATCGCATTTTGATAGGAAAGAGATGTAATGTATGACGGAAAGAAAAGAAACAATCATCCATACTATACCGGATATTCTTCTGAATCCGATTTGCACTTCCTAAAATTGTTAGAATGATTAAGTAGGAGTTGTATGTAAAGATTAATTAGGAAAAAAAGAAAACAGGAAAAGCACAATTCATCTTTTTTCACTGATAAATTTTGAAGCACAATGATATCATAGGAAAATGAAAACTTTATTTAGTAAACTTTTTAATTGTATTTCAAAAATTAACAACTTTTGTTTTAATATAAGATTTATTTAGCCTTTATTTATTTACCACATTAGCTATCTGATTCATATTGAGGTGGTGCTCGTGATGACCGGAGATTGTAACAATCGTTCACATCCCGGTTTTCAATGCTATGAAAAAGTAGCCGCTGCTAGTTTTGGACAAGTATTTCACTTGGAGAAAACAGATATCAATAAAGTACTCAATTATGTTCGCCATTCGATCACCTTTAAAAAGGTCAGAAGTGAAAGGTCTTTTTTAATCATTTTTTCGATTACATTAGAATTTCAAAAATTTGAAAGGTCCTTTTCTGCACAAACTCTTCAACTAATTCTTCAATTGAAACTTTTCGAATCAATTTTCAAATTTAAAAGCCTTCAATTCGAAATTATGCAATTCAACATATTTGATGAAAATATATTCAAAAAAGTAGTCTAACTTTATGATATTTTCAGGTTCACATTATGTATGAAATTAGAGATCATAGTGGTACATTTTTATGTCAAATACCTGTTGACAGATTACTTACAGAGTTAACAATATCGTTATCAGCAGATAAAGATGATGATAATTATCTGGACATTAGTTTGATTGATCCTAAAGGTAATTTTCCATTGTCATGCAAATTGCTTTGATAAAATTGTTGTTTTGATTATCCGAAAAGATTGGAAAGGTTTAACTTTCTTTTGCATCAAAATAATTCATCTGCAATATTATCAACCAAATCATAATACAAAAACTATTCAAATTTAAAAAGGGCGCAAAAAAATCAACAAAAAATGAAATAGGCACACGAATAGATCGAGCTCAATTGAGCAATGAAACTGGTTCTATTGATTTGAACAATATTAAATTAATTCGGATTCGGAATCCTATGCCTGGAAACTGGAAAATACGTACATCAAGTCGTGTGAAACATACACTACGGGTACTTGGTCATGGCCCTATTGATTTCAAATATGGTTTTGCGTTAAAATTAATCGATAAAGTGGAATTGGTAAGCGTGAAAATTATGCTCACTCTAATTGTTTCTAATTTTTCAATTAATTTTATATTATGAAATTAATGTGGGAATATTATTCAGAAATTAACCTTCGTATTGATGCATCAAAAATATTTCAGTCACATCCACGTCCAGTTGCTTATCAACGTACCTATTTGATTGTAAACATGAAAGGATTACCCTCACCAGGTATTCTTCTCGAAATTTCACTGGTAGATTATTACGGTAAAGAATTATTGTCTAAACCGGCTATAGCATACGTGCAAAATCCCTATTTATATTATATTGGACCATTCGTACCACCAAGAGGATTGTTTTTTGTTCGTGTGAGAGGTAAAGATAATCAATCCTATGAGTTTCAACGTATTGCTCCTACCGCAGTATCCGCCGTACAAACCACTGGACCGAGGTATAATTGTTTTTTTCCTTCATAATACATTCTAATTTGTTTCTATTAAAATTTAATTAAATTTATTTTCATGCTATTATTGATGATTTTATTTTGATAATCATTCCTTGAAATATATGATATATTTATTTCACTTAGAGCATATATGACTGATCGTATAACAGCAATCGTTTCACAACCATTCAATTTGACATGTTCAGTAGTTTCGAAGGATCAATTTACACTTTACTGGTACAAAGGTAACAAACAACTCGGTGGGCCACATTTCTATCCGTAAGTTTATTTTTTTAGAAAGGTTAATTTTTTTTTCATTAAAATAATTAAGCATATCTTAGCTATTTATAATTCATCAAGAAAGGCCGCGATAAAATTCAATTTAACAGATATTCTGATACATCTGTGTGGACTTTTAAAGCAATTACCCCAGAAGATCGTGGTGATTATCATTGTATGGTTATCAGTCCCTTCGGAAATCATACTGTTACCACATTTCTCGAAACAGAAGGTTATATTCAATTTTTTTCTCAATTTAAATCATCTTTATTTTACTTAAATTCATCTATAAATTAGTTAAATATGAGTTAAACCATTTTCCATATTCTAATGCATTATGCTAAATTACTCGAAGCTTACTTTAATAAGCAAAAATAGCTGTGCTGTATAGTAATTACACTACAGGGAGACAAATTATAATGATGGCGTTGTTGGCTATTCATCGATTAATGCTTCTAACTTCTAATTAATTTCATTCTGTTGATATGATGGATTCGATCATATAGCTTTACTCCTTCTTCTTAATGATTAATTTTCAACTGCTTCTCTTTTTTCTTTTCAACTTTCAAATTCTTTCTAAAAAAAGATTTTCAGAACCAGCACCTGAGATTACATTTATTCGAAATGAATCAGTAGCACGCGGAAATTTAGCATTTTTACATTGTCGCACTCAAAATTTGAATGCTATAATTCAATGGCTAAAAAGAGATTCAGTGATTGAAAATACGACTAAAACGGTATAAATTTTTGAAGTTAAAGAAAAAAGCAAAATATAATCAATGTTAGGTGATATAGACACATAACATTGATTATATCATAGAGTAATGGTTTATTAATGCAAATGAAGATCAAATAACACGCTTCATTATGAACTACTCTTTAATTATATTTCCATTCTTGGCATGAAGCACTATTCTACGACGTAACCTATCACCTAACATTGATTATATTTCGCTTCTTTCTGTCTTTTTTAAACAAAATAGCTTCACTAATTAACACATATAATAATTGCAGCGTTTATACACTAATGGTACGTTAATGATAAGTGACGTGAATATGCAAGATGCAGGCATTTATCGTTGTCGTGTGCAAACACCAGCAGGTCGTGCTGAAGCTATCATGCATTTGCATGTCTTGGAAGCTCCAAAAGTTCACGTCACACCACACCAGTTATATTTCGTGCGTGGGCAATCATTTAATATCTCATGTACTGTTAATGGTAGGCATCTTTTTGAAATTTCTTTAATAAACTACTAATGATTTAAGTTTTGTTCGATGAAAAGTTGAAAGTTCGGAAGTAAATGAAACGTATACGTGATCAGAGGTAATGTGAAAATTGTAGTAAGTATGTCATGTGAGCAATTTAGCTAAACTTTTCACTTAAATTTTTTTACATCCAATTGTTTGTAAGAAAAAAGAAAACATATTCAATTTATAGTTTTCATTAAAAATAAATTTTAGGTGATATGCTTCCGGAACCAAAATGGTACTTTAAAGGTCGCCGAATCATTCCGGATCATCAGAAATATTATATCACTTACAAATGTTTGTGATGTTCTCATCATTATCTTTTTTTCGAAATTTTAGGAAACAAAGAAGTTGTTAGTCAATTAAGAATAATTTTGTTTTAGATGATTTGATTGTGCAACGAGCAACAGAGGCTGATATTGGAGTATATGAATGTCATGCAAGTAATGCTGCTGGTTCTCATGCAGATAGTACGATGGTAAAAATGTCAAGTCAGTCCAGATGAATTTTATAAAATTTGATAACATAATTCTATCAGAAAATAAACTATAAGCCCAACTAATAAATGAACTGGATAAGTTGAATAAAAGAACATTTGCTAATTTGGTGTTGATTAATTAATAAAAATATCTTTATTTTATACTGCGATAATGTGATTTATCACAAATTAAATGCATATATAAGATAGATTTTATATATTAAACATAAAGCTTGATATGATATTTTGAAACAAAATCCTACAGCTCCTCCAAAGATTCGTGTTATTCGCGATCGACAAATGGTTGGCAGAGGTGATCATGTCACGTTGGAATGTAAGGTAAGATACTTTCCACTTAGAATTTGCATATTTATCTAAGTTTATTTGATAAGAACTAACTTTACTTAAATCAAATAAACGTGCTTCATTCTTATTTGGGATATTCACTTAAATTCTTCAAATTCTTTTTTTTCAACGTAACGCTTTATTTAGATAGAACATGGGAATCCAAAACCAAAAATTTCATGGTTCCGTGGAGGACGTGAAATTCAAAGTCACAGATATATTACAATCGATCAAAACAAACTTATGATTGAGGTGTTTCTTGTTTTCTTTAATATTTATAAGAAGTATCTTTATAAAACAAAGTGTTATTATAACGATGTAACTATTTAATATTTACAGGGAGTGCAAGATTCTGATGCCGGTTCGTATACGTGTATTGCACAGAATTTGGCTGGACGTGACTCAGGAATAATCAATCTTGATGTTGGAAGTAAGCATTTTTTCAAATTTATATTTGAAGATTTAAAATTTTATAGATGGAAATACAGAAAAAATTTTCAAAAATATTAAATGCGCGAGGCTCAATGCTTATTATGACGTCATGGTTGTAATTTGAATGTGGTAACTGAAATTCATGATTCATATAAATAAGATAATCCATGGGTATCTATAAATGCGAAAAGCAAAACAAAATCAAAAGTTGAAAGTTTAAAAAACAAAACAAATAATTTTAAATAATTTTAAAGGTATGCCAACAATTGTGCCAACTCCGGAAATAGTTCGAGTGAATATTGAACGATCCGTAACACTTCAATGCCGTGCAATAGGATATCCTCTACCAAAAATTACTTGGCATCGTAATGGAATACCAATTGAAAAATTACCTGCTCGTATCAAAATCCTTCCAGATGGAAGCCTTCTAATTAACAGTATGATTAAGTCATATATTGTTATAATATATCCTTTTCTATACCACTCAAATTGTATCCAAATTTTGGAAATTTCGGAATTTTAGATGTTCAAGTAGATGATCAGGATCGTTATACTTGTACTGCGGAGAATACATTCGGTCGTCAAGTCAAAGCAACTGTATTACTGGTCACTGGACTAGGTTAGTTTGAATTTGTGGCATTTTGTTGGGTCATCTTTGTTGGATGCTATTGAACTTTACAATTTAGGAAGATAATGATAATGGACAGAAGTCATACAATAACTCCATTATATGCAAGCAGAATCCATTCGATCATAGTTATTTTCATTCATTTAACATATATTGCTTGGCTAAGAAATTATTGTTTCAGTAAGCCCAGTATTAGGCCACATGTCACCAGAAGAGAAACTTATAGAAGGCGGAGAACTTCGTCTATCATGTATTCCTGTTCTTGGCACACCAAAACCAACTCTCAGATGGTATAAGGACGGTAAACCACTGCAATCCTCTGCTCATGTTACGGTTAGTTATATTTTATTTGAAAAAACTGAATCAATAAAACGATCCGATTAGGACTTGGTTTCTTCTATATCTGTCCATCGTAATTGTGATAGGAATATTTTTGCTAGATAAAAGTAAACTAACATTTTTATAGGTGAAATCGGGTGGCAGCATTCTATTGTTGCATAAGGGTCGTCCAGAAGATGAAGGCCAATATACTTGCGTTGCGACTAATTCAGCGGGCAATGCCTCTCTCAATGTTAATATCGAATTAATCAGTTAGTCTATTTAAAAAACCAATTAAAATGTTTATGTGAAAAATTTAGAATTTAGTCAAAAGTAACTAGTATCTTTTAATGTTCCAAGATTTTCAGTAGTGTTAATTTTTTTCAGTCAATTTAATTTCTTTCCAAATTTCATCACAAACTTACTTAATGTCCGTATATGTAGAATATTTTTCTTTTTTTGTCGTTATCTTTTTTAGTCTACTATTTTTAAGCCAATTTTTAAAATATTTTACATTTGCTCGTTTTTTTAATCTAAATTTAGATCGAAATCTTCACTGATAACATGATAGATTAATTTATTGAGCATTTGAGAGGATCTTTCTATCGTTTTGCAAAATTATAAAATTCCGTATTAATAGATCACAATTTCTGTTTTTAAAAAGAAACGTATCTTCCACTTATCCCGTGATATAGAGTGACGTTACTCATAAATATAGCTCTCTTAATGAGCTGCTGCATTAATTTTTCCAAATACTTCTCTGGTTGAAAAGCGGTGATTTCAGATCCGAAGCCTTAAAAAATTTTGAGCATTTGCAATCACAAATATTAAGAAATTTTACAATAGTTGAAAACAAATTAATTTAAATTTAAAAGAAGTGCCGCTCCTATAATAATATGACGAGATGCATGTGTTTACATATGTTTATCTATTTCTGTTCATGTGGCACCTATTTATCAAACGTACATATGCAGGTATATCATAAATGTATGCTTTGATAGATGTACATGTAAATTTTTAGAATGCTTTTAATTAAATTTAGAAAAACCCTATATCAAGAAGAGTGATGCATCGCAATATACGACGTCTACGGGAAAAGTATTGGAAATCCCGTGTCATGCTATTGGAAAACCACCACCGAAAGTAATTTGGAGTATTGATGGTAAGCCGATTAGTTCGAGCAATCAAGAGTATGAGATTCTGGTCAGTTTATGAATATTGTGTGATAATTTCAATCTTCGACATTCAAAAACTCAATTCGGTCCAATTTAGTTAATTTTTCTCTCATTTCTAACAACAAAGAGAAAAAAACTTGCTAATGAATTCTAATTTATTTATCAAATTGAAATTAATAAATTAAAATTTTCAGATTAGAAGTAGCATATCTTTATATTTTAGCCTGATAACACATTGCGGATTCGTCAAACAAGCAGTAGCCATACAGGAAAATACACTTGTACCGCTTCTAATGTAGCAGGTGAAGCAAAAATAGCAACTAATGTGATCATTCTTGGTCCACCTGTTATTGAACCTGGACAAGTAACTTATAGCTTGATTCAGGGCAACCCAATTACGCTGCCTTGCAAAGTTCGCAGTGATTCTATACCAACGATCAGTTGGTAATAAACTTATTTCATTTCATTAAACTTAGTTCAAAATATATTATTTTAATAATAGATGTTTGTTTTTAAAAGTTTAAATTAAATTTATTTCATATGCAGCTATGATTTACCTATCGATTTGAAATTAAGAGCAAATTGAAATGAAAGAAAAATTGAGATCTCCCGGCTCATATTACAAATCTCTAACTCAAATTCACTAATTCACATTTAATATAGGTATTTGAATGGTAAGGAATTCAAAAATGGTCTCATAGATAAAAATGGTTCGTTGACCATTGAAAAGGTCGAGGAGCAGCATCGTGGACAATTTAAATGTGTCGCATCAAATGATATTGGAAAGGATGAAAAAGTTATCACTTTAACGGTACATACAGCTCCAATTATTGAGGGATCTGATCAGGTATGCATTTTTTTTAAATGGCCAATTGAAGCATAAGTAAAAATTGAAATTATTTAAAATTATTTTAAAACTTTTTGAAATTATTTAAAAACATATAAGTTTAGAAAGAAATTAATTAATGACATTGTATTTAAATTGAAAATGTTTTTCAATATTTGTCTTGTAATGTAAAAAAAATAGTTAATTTCATATCATTTGTTGCAAAATCAATTTTAACCAATTTTTGTTACAGTTGAAAGTTTTAATTACGAATGTTAATCAATCAATACTATTGCCATGTCCTGCTCGAGCTTTTCCATTACCTTCAAGAATATGGAGTTATGAGAATGATCGGATCTATGATGGTTATAGCCATGGATCTGTTAGTTATTTTCAAATTCATTCATTTTCATTTCTGATTGATTGCACTATTAAGTTAAACAGGAGTGTTATAATATTAGTCATCATAAACTAATTTATTTTTTGACCTGAATTAATAGGTCCTAAAACATTGTTTAAAACTAATAAATTTCTATCGAAAATGTGATAATCATAAATGAAACAGATAAGTATAAAGAAATCAGAAGTGTCTGATTCATTTGAAGTTTAAGAAGAAGGGTTAAATGCAAGTTTAATCTGTCTGAATAGATCTAAAAGCACTGTTGGGAAAGATGTATTATTGAAAATTTTCTCACTCTAAGTTATTACTTCACATTGTTTAAATCATCCCATTTTAATTTTTCGTACTATTTTATTTTGAAATGTAATTATGCAGAAAATATAATTTTAGGAGATAAGGTATACGCATGATGGATCATTAGAAATAGTAACACCTCAAATGAATCATGCAGGTCGATACACCTGTCATGTATCCAATTTAGCTGGTGATGATCAGATAACATATCTGTTGAAGATACATGAACCACCGAAAATCATATCTGACATACCGGGTTGGTGATTTTTTTTTAAATGAAACAAACATAATAATAAGAAGAATAAATAAATTATCAGTAGATTAATCAAGTTTTATCAAATTATCATTTTATTTTAGGTACTATTGTTATTGTTCTTGGCCTTATGCTGGAAATTCCTTGTCGTGCTATTGGAACACCTGAACCAACAATTAGCTGGGAAAAAGATGGCTTTCAGGTGTGAGCTTTTTTTCATTGTTTCTTAAAAATTTCCTCATTTGCTAATAATTTTTGTACATTCACACCACTTTAAATTATCTGATTTAATTTTATCAAAATCAGAATGAATGTATAAACCGAAAATAGTGAGACACATTTCCGGAAAACGCGATGAAATGGATGATATCTTGTATTTCAAAGTTTTTATCTAAAAAAAATACTAATTGTGTTGTTTAGGTTATTCCGGATGATATTATTCAAACCGATTCAGCAGGCACAATACTTATCGAAAAAGCTCAACCGTCACATCGTGGAATTTATCGTTGTCTGGCAACAAATCCAGCTGGACGAGATGAAAGGGATACACTCGTAATTGTGCAAGGTATCAAAAAATGTCATTTTTTTACAACAAAATTTCATTAAAAGACATTATATTTAGAACCACCAACAATTTCGCCGAATACATTGTCTGATTACACCACTGTGGAAGGTGATCGCATAGAATTGCACTGTTTTGCTAGCGCCAATCCATCTCCAACCATAACATGGAGCCGAAAAGGAATTCCAATATTAGATGATACACCGCGGATGCATGTAAATAAAGATGGTACTTTGATTATTGATAATGTGGAAAATGATGATGCTGGTCACTATATATGCAAAGCATCAAATGCCGCTGGCGATGCGGAAAAGGTGGTACGATTAACTGTTATAAGTAAGTATCTTTCAGTTAGTAATTTTTGGAAATGGTAAGAAAGCAAGAATATCGTAGGAATTTTATAAATTTTATCGAAAATATTCAGAAATTTTATTGAAATCGAGAGATCTGTTTATGAGAGTTTAAATTTGAAATTTAGAAAGATTAATCTTCCTTCAAGATATCCGATTTAATTCATATTGGAATTTTCCTTTCAATTACATCATGCACACTTTCGTTTCTCGTTTCAAACATTGAGGATTGATTTTATTTTGAAGTATTAAGTAATATAATAATTTAGAATAACTAATAGAATTGTTATTAACATCTTGTTTCATAGTTTATTTACGTTTTAGAATTTAAATTGTCGTTTTATTTACAATCTATTTCCATGCTTTTTCAGTTTTTATTATTTTATAAAGCAAAATAATTGTTTGTAGTTCCGCCTGACATTCCTGATCAAGAAACGATTGCAACGGAAGCAGCTGTTATTGGACAATCATTCAGTCTTTACTGTCCAGTATTCTCCATTCCACTACCACAGGTTCTTTTTTTACACGTTTAATAAAAATTACATTGATTTGTATTTCAGAAGTGGTCAAAATTTGAAAAGCTAAAAATGACTTTCATAGGAAACGTATACTAAACATTGAGCTGATATTTCATTTTTTCAATGTTAACTTGAAATATCTTGTCTTCTGCTTATATTTTTATATAAAAAAAAATTCAGATCACATGGTACTTGGATGATCGTTTAATATCGAAAAACGATGCAAACATTGTTCTCTCGGATGATCAAAGACGCTTACACATTTTGAAATCTCGAGTAATAGATGCTGGAAGTTATAAATGTGTGGCACGAAATCCGGCTGGAGATTCAGCAAAAACATTTCAAGTTGAAATTATTGGTGAGAGTAATTTTCGTGAAAACATTTAAAATATTATAAGCACAATGAACGGAGATTGTTGTCAGAAGAAATATATACTGTAAAAATATTACTCAAATTATTTAGCGCGATTTTGTTGAATAGAATTAGGCATATACTTCGTTTTACATATGTCGAAGAATGAATTCAAATTCAGGTTTTTATACGAAATGTAATCGTATTCCCTAAAATATCCTTCGCACATTTTCGATTTTTAGCTCATCTGATTTTAGAACAGAATGTGATTGTTTGAAGTTATTATCGTTGAATAATATAGTAAATATCTGATTTCAGTGCCGCCAAATTTGAATCAGAGCTTGCATAAAATCAAAGTAACAGTACTGAAAAATGAGCATATCGAGTTAGGTTGTCCAATATCAGGTATACCTGAGCCTGATATTGCCTGGCTTGTTAATGGACAGCTTCTTGAGGAAGGTGTCACAAAACGTGGTGTAACATTGGCATCAGGAGGAAAGTCGGTAAGTTTTCAAGTTTTTCAATATCATTGCAAATAAGACTCATTTTTCTATCGAAAGTGTGATAACCATGAATGGCTAATTTCTTCAATGATATAATTTTCATTTTTTTCTTTTTTAACGGTAAGCAATATTAAGCTGGCATAGTTGCTTTAAATGCATGCGATTGCTTACATTTAATGTTTCATTGTTATAACATGCGCTTTATCTTATATCACCACAATGGAGTAATCAGGAAGGTATCTTCAAAATGCGAAATATCTGTCAAAAATTTCAGGTAATAATAGAATTTGCGCAATTAGAACATGAAGGAATTTACACGTGCGTTGGAACAAACAAAGGTGGTAGTTTGGACGTCGATGTTCATCTCACCGTTTTCGGTAAGCGTTCTTTTTTTCAAATATTAGTGTGACTAAATTTTGAAAAATAATTTATTGGACGCATTAGATTTTCATTAGACTCAATGCTTTGAAAATCTTAGTTCATGATCAAAATTAATCAAAATTTAAAAATTAGCAAAATATTGTAGGATGTGATAAAGCTAATGTATTAATCGGTAAATTTCTCATCCAGCTAATTTCTTTACATTAATTGCATTAGTTTAATGGCTAAATGAGAAACTTCAGAAATAGATTGGAGAGGAGATAATTTTTTCATAATTAAATTCAATTATGGTCAATCTTAAAACTTAAAAACTAATAATGAAAATATATCATAAAGAGTGATATGGAGGGATGCTGTTTTAACATAAGAAAGAGTTCTACTTATCTTGCTCTTTATAATCTCAATTCTCATTTTTTAGCTCCGCCAAAAGTTGGTAATGATGAGTCATTGGAAGTGATCGTTGGGAAAGGTGTAATATTGAATTGTGATGTGGAACAGGAAGGATTAAAATCGACCATTTCATGGCTTATGGTTAGCAAACAATAATTACACGACTTCATATCCAGTTAAACGCTATTGTTTCTCCAACGGGTCAATTGCAAACACAATTATTTATTTGTCTTATATCATCTTTATTTGCTGATCAAATGTGCTAATTATTTGTCAAACAAAAATAATTTTTTCTTGACATTATAGTTTTTCCATTTTAATGATCAAATTAGATTTATTGAGTATGTATCGATGATTTTTATTGAAAAAAAATTTCTTTAAAAAAATTATCTTTTTTTGGTGTTGAAATATATCGAATTTATTGAATTAAAAAGCAAATTTGAACATTTGCACTGATAATTAATAGGTCTAATAATCAAATGAAAAATAAATTTTATTGAATCGAACCAAATATTAGACATTATTAACAACCGATATATATATTTACAGAAAAAGCATATGGTACTTATGCAATGTTACAGAATGATTTCGAAACGTTACCACCGAATGCGCAAATTGTTTTGGATGGACGGCGTATGTATCTCAATGAGGTTACATCTCTCAATGAAGGCATATATCAGTGTCGAGTGAGGAATAGCGCTGGTCAAAGCACTAAAAACTTCGTATTAAGCGTTTTAGGTATTCACTTTAGCAATATATTGAAAGATAAATAGATGAAGATAATTTTATTGATCGATTTACATTATACATTATATGTTATTTCTTTGCTACGCTCATCGCTTCTGATAACATAGCCATTTCAGTACGATATTTTTTGAATTTTTATTTAATACAAAATTTATGATATTTAAAACTAATCATTCATAAGTTAAACTATGATTCATTTCACTTTTTCATACATTACATATTTAATCATTATAGAGCCACCAAGTTTTCGTGACAAAAAATACGAAACAAACATTCAAATAACACCGGGTACGGCAATATCGCTAACTTGTTATGTAGATGGTCATCCACCACCAAATGTCCAGTGGCTTCGCGATGGTGAAAATCTAATCGAAAGTCATGCTTCAATAAGTGATCGAAATCAGAAATTAGTTGTACAACACAACGATTACGCCAATCATAGGTACTTTCAAATTCATATTTCCTTATTCATAGGAGAAAAATGAATTAATTAAAAACTTTTTTTACTTTTTTTAGAAAGATTGAAAATCAAAAGAAGATTGAAAAACTTAACAAAGAATTTCAGGAAAGTTTTAGAAAATACAGCAATTTCAGATTGAATGATGGATTATAATTAAATTATATCATTAGCATATCACTTTGATTCAGATGTTTTAAATTTTATAAATTTTTATCATTCTCTTAATTATTGCACTTACACAAACTGAGATCTGTTAAGCGATAAATATTGAAAAATTATAACATTTAGATAATACTCTTTCAGGTATACATGTATTGCAACAAATAAGGCTGGAAGCATATCACGTGAATTTCTTGTTCAGGTATGGTTGCCTTAATTTAATCCGAATGGACAAGAATAACCAAGACTAACAGTTTTCTCATCTTTATGTCTTGTGCACTTCTGATGCAGTCATCATTATTTTGTTTCAGGTAATAGCTCCACCGATAATGGTCGATTCTGATAATTATACACCAACTATTGAAGTAATCGAAGGAGATGCAGTAACATTGGAATGTCCACTGCACACACCATTTAATATTATGGATATAGAATGGTTAAAAAATGGACGTCCAATAACGGTGTTTATATATATTTCTTATCACCAGTAATTGAAATAATGAATTATTCTTGCATTTATCATTATATTAAATTTAAATTATAATTTCAATATTTTTATTATTTTTCACTTTTGTTTTGATTCTCTTCTCTACCATCAACTAAATTATCATGTAAGCATTTTATTAATCATTTTCATAATTATCCTAACTTATATTTAAAAGTTAAAAGGATTACATAACGGCAATCCTTGCAGATGTCTGAATGAATGTTGCTTAGCTGTCTTATCAGTATCTTCAGATGATTGGTAAAAGAGAATTTTGATGAGTGAAAAACAATCCTGCATTTGTTTTTATAAAAAATTTTCCATGATTTTTTTAGTCGGATGACCCAAATATGCAAATTTCGTTGGATAAAACCCGATTAGTAATTGTAAGTATGGAGAAAGAAGCTGAAGATACATATATTTGTGTGGCACGAAATTCAGCCGGTCAAGCAACACGAGAATTTGATATTGCAGTCATTGGTAGATATTTTGAAAATTTGCTTTGTTCATCTTTGACAACAACAAAAGATTAATGAGCATTGTTTATGAGTTCATACTTTGGAATTAATAATTAGAAGAAAAATTAATCAAATAAGAGAAAATATTAAAATACAACCTTTTTTCACAGTTCCTCCACGTATTATTGGCAAAGCAGTAGAATATATTTCAATTGTGGAGGATGAATCGCAAGAACTTGAATGTGACTTCGAAGCAGATCCCATTCCGGATATACATTGGTCAAAAGATGGCGCTGATATCGGAAATGACGTACAGGTAAGCGCTTTCTAACATATGTATATCTTTTAATTTTCAGATTCTCAGTGATATGTTATTGATAATTGAGAAATAAAAAACAAAAGACAATAAAGCTATTAAACTTGTTTAAACAAATAATTAAAATTTAGAAATTTTTATATAAAATATTTACATCATGCCATTTTGCTTTATCGATAATTGATATTTTAATTATAGCTATTAAACGAGAAAAGAACTGCATTGCTACAATCGGTGAACTCTAGAAGTGCTGGAAGTTATCGTTGTGGAATTATCAATAAAGCTGGTCGTGCTGAGAAGACATTCAATGTGCGCATTATTATGAAACCTGGTTAGTTTATTTTGCATAAAAAATCTTTTAAAATTTCATATCGAAATATTAATATACTTTATAGAATCTTTTAAAATTTAAAATTTCAGTATCAAAATATATCAGTATATTTTATAGAATTGGAAAATGCTAATGTAACAGCAATGATCGAAACACTTACACATCGACCAGTAAGCTTTGAATGTCCATTAGCAGTCACTTCGGATGCCAATATTTCGTGGACGAAAAATTCGATCCCTCTAGTTCCTGGTTACAGTGATGATGTACAGGTAATCATTATCCATAACTTTTCATCAGTATTTTAATATTTCAAGCATTTACCGAGTGTAAGAGGAAGTTGTATAATTATTTGTGAATTAATTGGAAGATGACAGGTGCATTTAGCCAATGGTACTCTAAGTAGTTTTTTTTTGCTTCAAATTTATAATCCTTTAGTAATTTTGGAACTTTTTAAATTAATTGCTTTCAGATTTTAAATGGTGGACGACAGTTTGTTATTTCGAACGTTAAACTGGATGATCAAGCAACATATAGTTGTGTGGCACGTAATAAAGCTGGTGAAGCAAGCAAAAATTACAAATTATCTGTGTTTGGTAATTTAATTTTAAAATATTATAAATTTTGTAATGATTCTAATAATGTATAGATTGAAAATTAGCAAAATTTTGTTCAAAAAAAAACTTTATTTAATGACAGATTAATATAATTCGATTTATTTCAATTTTTTCAATTTTTTTTAGTAATAATTTTAATAATTTTACAGTATCACCAACAATTATTAGCAAAGGTGGAGTACATAAAGTGATTGAGAATAATTCATTGATTTTACCATGTGAAGTTGAAGGTGAACCATATCCAACCATCACTTGGATGAAGGTTCTGATATTTTTCAATCCTTATAAACTCAATTTCAGAAGTACAAGTGATTTCATTTTTTTTCCTTTTTTAAGATAATCGATTTGCTTTATCGTTACCTTACTGAGATAAGAATTCTTTGAGAATTCCATGTAAACGGGAAATAATTTGTGTTGTTCAGAGATGATCCTTTGAACAATGAAATGTTAAATTGATGATGGTAAATGTGATTTTTCCAGGATGGTAAACCAGCGTTAGAATTTACTTCTGTACAGGCGCTTTCAGAAGGCCAACAGCTTAAAATTGCACGAGCTGGTGTGGAACATCGTGGATCATATGTATGCTTAGCGCAGAATAAAGTTGGCCAAGCGGAAATTGGTTTCGATGTTGATGTTATAAGTAAGTGGAATTGTCCGTGAAATATTTTGTTATCTTATTTGATTATTGGAAATGTTATAATTGTTATATTGAAATATATCAATCACAATTTAATGTTTAATGATCGATCTAAAAAAAACCAAGAAATTTTGTTTTTATATTGAAATTGAATTTTCATCTTAGTTATCTTATAATATTACGATATTCATATTTTTTCAGCTCGTCCAACAATAGCTGAAGAAGTGAAGAAAATAGCTGAAGTGATACAGAATGATTCAGTCGTAATTCATTGTCCAATAATTGACAAAAGATTTTCTGGAGAGGTCACTTGGTATGTGTTAAATTTTATAAATTTTAACTCTCATCTTTTGTCATTCAACAAATTTTAATTTTTATCTCAAAAGAAGCTAATCTGGAGAATTTTTGTGGTTAACTTATTTAATTATAGGAACTCTCATGTTAGCAATATTAGCAAATAATATTGAAAGATTGTTATTTTACGATTACTGATTCAATGAAGAAAATTAAGAGTTTCATTTAGCACAACCTTAATTTATTAAATTCATTAATAGCATAACCTTAATTTATTAAATTTATTAGCTTAAATTTATTAATAGATTATTAATAAAAAATTATGCAACCGAACTACCGGTAGTCTTATTTAGCGGGATAAAATTATTACCAAGTAATTTAAAAATAGCCAGATTCTCCCTCTCTCTCTCTCTCTTCATAATCTTGTAATTTTGAGGTTAAAAGATTATCAACCGCTGAAAATTGATGGTCAAAAGTATGCTATGTCTCAGTTAAGTCGTAAACTTCATGTTAACCGGTAATTTTTAACAATTTTTATGCAATAGCTAAAGTTCTACAATTTACTTAACGAGCAGTTATCAAAATTGTAGAAGTGCAATTTTGCTATGTCATTTTTCAATCTGATAAATTGAACGAATAATGTTTGTTGACAAACTTTCCCTTTGACTTCTTCATTTTTTCAGTCTTCTTCATTTTCTTAAATGCATATTTCGAATAATTTTTAAAACAAATTTAATCTCCTAATGGTGGTTATACTCATCGAGAATTTAATCCGATCCTTGGGTGATTTAATTATCTCATCCTTTTGAATATACCTTACTTTCAGTGATATGTATGATATCTTGTTCTTCTGAAACCCTATGCTTTCATTATTAAGAGCTGACCTACGTGATGAGGGAAGCTACAGTTGTCGAGTGAGGAATGATGCTGGTGAATCGAGAGTTGATTACAAATTAAATGTTCTACTTCCACCAGAAATACTAATCCTAGATAAGGACAAGAATAGGTATAATGTTTTATGTAACTTTTTTTTATTAAACCTATTAGAAAAATTCTAATAACTTAAAATATATCATACTGCTTTTAATAATATTATCATGCAAAATCAATGAGTTTGAAATTATATGATTTTTTTTTTTGTTCTTTTGATAGGGCAATTAATGACACTAAAATTGAAAATATTAATCGAATTTAAAATTTTGTACTTCGCATTATATACATATATGTACAAATATATATAATATACATCACAGAACAGCAATCGAGAATAGTGCAGTTACATTAAGTTGTCCGGTAACTGGTAAACCGGAACCGATAGTGGAATGGTTTAAGGATGGTGAGCTTCTGACGCCGCTCAACATTACAGAAAGAATTGATACAGGACATCTGAAAGGCAATGATCTGAAAATTGCAAGCGTAAAAGTAAATTACCTTATTTTATGATTGGTAAAAATTATTAAAAGATTAAATTATTTCAGCTATTTAGCTTCACTTTACTCTCACAATATGTTTTGTAAGATTTTGAAAAATATTTTTTACTCATAGTAACGGATATAACTTTCAGAAAACAGGAATGACAATTTACAAGTTATTCATTTGCTTTTTACATAACAATCATATAATCGTCAAAATTCGATTACGATATTGCAGGTAGTAAATTCAGGTCGCTATACATGTGAAGCAAAAAATAAGGCTGGCATGGTGGAACAAGACATTCTGTTATATGTTATGAGTAAGTTTCAAGTTTTAAATGTGATGCATATACATTTGCAATGGAATGAAATGAAATTGTCAAGAATGAAATGAGCACAAAAAATAATAATGAAATTCGATTTCAGAAATATTTCTTCGAACTCCATTTGAATTTATAAAGTTCTCTTATTTTTTTTGTTCAGAAATTTTAGCTTCTATAATTTAAAAAGTAACTCTTATCCTTAATCATTAAAAATTTACATTATCATTCAACATATCAGTACATCAAATGTATGCAAAAAATTTTATTACAGCACCACCAAAAATAGAACATGAAGAAGTACCAGTAGAAATTGGCGGTAAATCACAAAGTGCACTAACAATTAATTGCCCGGCATATGGTCGACCAATGCCTGCAGTAACATGGCTAAAATCTGGCAGGCCATTTTATCATGATTCTGATGTTTACTTATCTGCTAATGGAATGAAATTACATTTCTTAAATTTGAAGAAGGTTTGCTGATTCATCGTTAAATAAAAAAATGCATTTTAATATGTAAATTTTGAATAAACAAGTATCGTAATTGTTTTTACTGAATAAATAAATACTGTAAGATATGTTTAGGAATAGGAAAAGGAAAAATTTTATGAGCAAAGAGCTTATTTTATAAAACAACATTGACAATATTTTGATAACCAAGAAGAATAGTTCTCGATAAGCTCAACTACTAATAATGCTAGATAATAAATTTTATTAGCATTCTGATCAAATATTATTTAGTCAATATCATGAATTTTACATGAATTTGAAATAAATGTTTAACTTTTAATAAAAAAATAACTTTTAAGAATGATGCCGATCGTTATACGTGTATCGCACGAAATCCAGCTGGCGAGGAAAAACGTGATTTCACTGTGAAATTATTAGGTATTATATGATTCATTTTAAAATATTAAAAAAGTAAAAAATAGGAGTAAATAATTACTATCTTTTATATAGTTAAGTATGATGCCCACGTATTTTATATAATTATTTTCTATTATTTTATTATTTGTATTATTTTACGTATCACATCTATAATCATTTTCTATTATTGTATTATTATATTTTACGTATCATATCTGAAAATTGATATTTTTTGTAATTTGATACTTGAAAAATTAAATAATTTACTTGAAATGAAATCATTTTTGCAAGAAATATTTTTAGTATCTAGTAAAAATATTTTAAATTTAGAAGCCCCAACAATTGAAGGACCGAATATTTTGCATCGGATGCAAGTGAATTCAGGTCGAACAGCTGTTATTAATTGTCCAGCATTTGGTAGCCCTGAACCATCCATTGCTTGGCTGAAAAATGGACAACCATTGGGAACCGATAATCGTCATACTATTTTAAGTGGTGGACGACAACTTGAAATAAATGACACTTCTCCAAGTGATGATGCAAGGTGTGAATTATTTTTTTAATTAACCCTTTTTTTTACGAACTTATAGAAATGTTTGTTTTTAAAATAATAATACATTTTGCGTTTTTCATGTGAATAAATACTGATGTAAATGTTTAAATATAAATTCATAAAAATTTTCATTGTTTTAGTAAAAGCAAAATAAAAATTGTAATTGTGGAAGGTAGTATTTTATATTAAAAGGTAGAGGAATGAAAACTAAAACGGATCGATATAACTCTCATTCTCCATTTTAGGTGTCATTTTTGAATGTCATTATTTTCTACTTCTTAGTTTACCAAAATATTTTCAGATATACATGTATAGCGACGAATAATATTGGTTTAGCCGATTTGGAAACCTATCTTCAAGTTATCGGTATGAGATCAATTAAAACTGTCAACTGTTAACTTGAAAGATTCGATAAGTGTTATTTGTTAAAAATGCAATAATTTTAAGGTATAAAAATGATATCACAATATATTTAGATGGTCCAGTAATAGTTGGTGATAAGCAAGAAGTAATTGAGGTGCTTATCAATGAAGCAAAAGATTTGTTTTGTGATATTTCGGGCACTGAACCAATTGATATCGAATGGTTGCGTGATGGAAAAGCTATCGAGTTTATAAACGAGCCACGGTCAACAACAAGTTATCTTCAGGTTTTTTTTTCATTTATTGCAATTTTTCCATTTGATAAATTAAACTGTTATTGTTTGTTATATTTTGCACGTTTTTTTTTTTAAATGTATGAATATATGACGAAAATCACTTTACAGATTTCTTCTCGTGGTCGAATTTTGCATATTTTATCAGCGCAAATCTCCGATACTGCTCGATATGTTTGTGTTGCAAGGAATACTGCTGGTGAAGCTAGGAAAATATTCGATTTACGCGTATTGAGTAAATTTTTCTGAATTCTTAAATTTCTGAGAGCAGAGTGAAAGAAAAGAGAACCATAAACATGTTATGACATGGTATAGGTCATTTAGTTTTTTATGATTCGATAAATTTTTTTAAATCTAACTTTACTACTCTTTATTACAATTCATTTCAATTTTGAAATTTTAGTCCCACCAGCAATTAGCGAAACTTCTTCCTCCCCACCGTTGCAAACAATAATTCCTGGAACTAGCTTTGCTGTGGAATGTATAGTTCAAGCTGTCCCGGATGCACAGGTTTGCTGTTTTCAAAATTTAGAATTTTTCATTTCCGTTGATCAATACTAAAAATTTCCCTTGTGTTGAGATATTCTAACGCTGTTACTTTTTTAATTTTTTACATCTTGTAAAATTTGTATTTGTAAATTAACTTCACTTGCATAAGTCATATCTTTTCAATAACGACTTTTCTATTCTAAGAAGCCAAAATATTAAAAGGGCCTTAGCACCCCAAAATAACTTTAGGATGTTAAAATTTATGATGGAGCATTAAATTGTTATTAATTATTTATATGAAATTTTAAATTCTATTTCTTTTTGACTTTCGTCTCCAACTTATTTACGTAATTTCCTTTCAGATCATATGGACCAGAAATAATCGTTTGATTAAATCGGACAACAATTCAATCTTTCTCAATAATAATCAAACAATCTGGATAAATGTGGCACGTAAAGGTTTGGATGGACGTTATACGTGTACGGCAACAAATAAAGTTGGTCAAGCAAGTCGGGACTTTATTATCAAACTTACCGGTATTTTTTTTGAAGTATTATTGGAGCTTAAATTTGATTTAGACTGAATTATTATTTTCTTAAATTTAAAAATAACTTCATCGTAATTTTGAAATATGGAAAACAATTTTAAAATTTTGAAATATTTCTTAGTGCAATAAAATTAAGTTTTTTCTTCTCTTTTATTTATATATAAATTATATATATCAAAGAATAAAATAACGTAATTTTTTAAGGAGCATTACATTGATCATTTGAATTTGATAATTTTATCGTATTCAGCTCCACCAATTATTGATCGTAGTGGTATCCAAGAAATTGAAGTAGTGGCAGGTGAATTTGTTATTCTAACTTGTAAAATACTTAATGATGGTGGAAAATTGTCAACAAAATGGATTATTGATGGACAGGAAGTAAAAAATGGACAAATTAATCCAAATATTCTGGCATGTTTTTTCTTAATAAATTTAACAGAATTAGTAAATATTTTTGAGAGATTAAAAATATTTTTAAAATTATAAAAAAAGCTAAAGTTGGAATTTTTGCAAGGTTGGGAAATGAAAAATTCTATTTGGTAAGGTATTCGATTAATTATTATCAGCTTAGAGCTGTGAGAAATATTTGTCTTAAAAAGCTGTTGCAAATACAAAATGCACAACACGCTACAAAATGGATTATTTCTAATCACAACGATAATAAAGAAAACAATTTTAAAATGACATTAAATAAAATTAGTCCAATATTTGTAATTTTAATTAATAAAATAGTTAGATGAAAGTTTCTGTTTTTTTGTTGATATTATATTTGAAATATTCATTCTGTTAGGTGGATGATCGACGAATTGAAATTCGAAATGCACGTTTAAGTGATTCGGGTAGCTATGTTTGTGTGGTGGAAAATGAAGCAGGAGAGGCAAGAAAAACATATGAGCTTACTGTACTCGGTAACTTTAAAATTTAATACTTGGATTTTTCTTGAATTGTTGAAATTTCTTAATTTTTTATTTTATTTTGAAAACATCATCGCATGGTACTGTATGGAGCTTGAGAAGACTCATTAAAGTACAGCTTTTAATTATTTCATCTAATTATAGATTATAAAAAGTAGACTTTCAATGATAGATTTTAGAAATCGGCAAGTATGAGAAGATGTATTAAAGTGAAAAAGTATAAATGAAAAATTATCAGAAGAATTTTGTGAATCAATTAAAATAAGCGAACAAATTAAAGATTTCGAAGGCATTTCATTTTAAAATTATAATAAATGATTGAAAATAATCGAAAGAAAGCTTACATGTAATTTACCATTTTACCATATTCATTGAATAAAAATTATTCTTTTTTTTCGTATAATTTATTAATAGAAAAATTGCAAAAAAAAATTTATTTAATTATTTAATTATTCAGGTGTGGAATTTAGTTATTTATTTAAGCTAATTATAAGTTATAAAAGTAGTTATAAATTATAAAGAGAATCAACGAAAAAAATTTTTTATTTTAAAGCATTTATTTTATTCCAGAACTACCTCGTTTTTTGGATATGACCAATTTGAATCCATCAATCATTGTTGGTAGGCCATTATTGTTGGATTGTTCGGTAACCGGTACACCGAGACCAGTCGTTATTTGGACAAAGGTTAGCTTTCAAAGAATTTGTCCTTTCAGATTCACATCAGAGAATTTCAGCGTTTTTTTCCTTGTGTTTAAACGACCTTCGATAAAATTATTACTTAAAAAGAAATTTAAATTTTTGTTAAAGATATTTAACGGATAAATAAAAGGTATAGTTTAGTAGTATTGATAGCATCCATTTCATTTTACATCTTAGAGTTTCAACTGTTTTCATAGCATAAATATCCTTATGGGAATTAGTTGTGAGGAAATCATTGCTAATAACAACTATGCAGCAAAAAAAGTTCATAAAAACGTGAAAACAAATTTTAAATTAAAATTCTTACAATGAGATAATCATTAATCATTCATCATTATCATAATTATAATCATTATAATCATCCATTATAAGCATTTACCAGCAATATTACAATATAAGGCAGCAAATGGAAAATAGCAGTGAAAATAGTGTTAAATATAGTGTTGGTTGCAACGAGAAACCACGACAAACACCGTAGCGATTACATTTTTTGCCACCAGCACAATCCAGACCTACACGCCAGATAGGCCTATTTTGAGTTGATGCTAAATTAAATCGACGATATGCATTTTGACAACGTCGTGATGCAGGTTTCTGCAATAGAATTAATTGAATTCAAAATTTTCGGGAAAATTTTCATTAATTTTTTTAAATTTGAGTTTAAATTGCTTACATTATATTAGGTCTTTTTAAAATATCTCCTAGAATGAAGTTTAAATCATCTCAATTACACTTTGAAATTCACATTAGCTTTTAGTTATATTTTTTGTTTACATTATATCGAATAAATTATAGTTAGTACAAGAATTAATCGTAGCATTTTCTTGTCCAAAAAAAATTTGATAAAATCATTGAGCGAATTTTATTTCTTATCGTTGATTATCTCAAATTTATCCGCTTATCTAATTATGCGTTTTTAATTTTTTAATATTTGAAAAATTAAGGAAATATATTTTCCTACTATTTAATCTGTTCTCATATCTTCTGTGATTTCTGAGAGTTGTTTTAAGACGGATCATTTTGTTTTTGCTTATAAGTTTGAAACATAAGTTATGATAATCATTTGAAGTATTATTTTAGGATAGAAACAAATTTCAATGCAACTTTAGCAGGGAATGTTTCCTTTGTTGAGCAGATAGAGTTATTGAAGTGCATTTATCAGATATTTTCATTCCCACGAGGATGTAAATTTTGTTAAATTTTGCGTAATGGAAATTGAAGAATTTTGTACCATAAGGCTATTTCTCAATGTCAAATTATAGCCTAGAAGAAAAAAAGGAATGTATAAATTAAGGAGCAAAGTATTAGTATTGTTTATATTTCATTCCATTTTAAAATTGTAATAGTTGTAAAATTTAAGTTCTTAAAATTTATTTCCATCTTTTTGCTCAATATTTTTAAATCAATTCAAAATTGTCATTTTTTTACTTTTTCTTAACTTTTTAATTGTTTAATTTTTCAAAATACTTACCATATTAAAGTCATAACAACATAGTTGACAACGATCATCAGAGGCAAATCCTGTATCGGGATCAATTAATGGACAATCACAAACCATTAAATGTGGACTGATACGAGCACATGGATTTTCACAAATATCATCCACGCATATTTTTTCCATCCTAAATTTCTCAAGCTTGCGCTTATGATAACTTTAATTGACATTTAAGATTAAAGCTAAGATCCTTGAAGAGGGAAATAGTTTATAAAATATATTATCAATTTTATATTATCATGTTTATATTATCAATTTAAATTTATATTTTAACAATTTATATACATTTTATCAATTGAATTTACATCCTTTCAATTTATACAATACATAAGAATTACTTTTTAAATATAAATGATAAGAGCTAACTTTCGATCACAATATTGCCCAGGTTTCTTATCATGACATACACTATTTGAGCATTTGCCTTGAAGGCATAAACGAGCTGGATCCGTATCATCACATGCTAAACCTTCTAGCTCTGCTCCATTCTGACGGCAAAGTGCGCATGCTTCACGTTCCCATCTTTCTCCGTTATCCCTTAATATTAAATTTAATTACGAAAAAGAAAATATTATTTGTAACAGAATGAATGAGCTCATTTTTTTAACTTTTATTTTTTCATTTCTTCAATTAATAGTTGCAGAAAAAATTGATTTAAATAAAATTTAAATTTTAGATTTGAAAAAAGGCATTTTTAATATCTAAAAATTTTTTATTTTTAAAATTAAATATGCATCTTTGTCTTTCCCCTCTTTCACTCTCTTCCTCTCTTTTAAAAATTTAATGTTATTTCGAAAAATTTTCAAGTATACCTAAAATAAATCTTTTTTCTACAACGATTTCAACATTTCAACAAGGGAATGAATGCACTTTCTGTTATGTTCATATCTTTCTCTGCTTTTTTTTATCTTCTTTGTTGTTGGTGACAAATCAGCAGGTGGTAAGGAAATCAGTTTTTGGATGATTGCTTCATTGCAAGAAAAGGAAAAGGAAATATTTTTTTTCTCCCTAAATTTTGATTTTAAAAAAACGAGTGACAATGAAGGAAAGAATAAAACGGAATGAATGAATCATATCGAATTCTGATCACAATATATTTTCTTTTGAAATGATAAAATTAAATATACACTATATGAATTTATCCATTAAGTTACAATCAGTTTAATTACTTATGATATTGATTGAAATTTAAATTTATATTTCTAACATTGCTATTAATCATTTCACTCTGATATTATTCATATGAAGTTTAAGAGAGAGAAAACTTTTAGCAGAAAAAACAACATTGTTTTTATCTTTCATATCATTTCTCTTTTCTTCCTACTATTTTTCTTTTTTCATAAAATATCTTTGTGAAAAAATTCACATATAAATGAAATGGTCGCTCAAAAGAGTTTGATAGAGTCTTCTTCTATGAGAGAGGAAAAAATGTGAGTATTTTGATGGATGGATGATGATGATATGTGATTATAGGCATTTATTGAAATGTCTAGAAAATAGGCTGTCAAGAACTAAGTACACTTTGTAATTTATTATAAAAACGAGTATATACAAATTCAAAATTTCAATCAAATTGATATCATTCAGTAATGAAACTATGAATTAAACATTAATAAATTTTACTAAACTATCAAGTATTCTTAATAATTATTTTGATTATTCATTATTATTTACGATATAGAGTGATGATAAATTGCCCATTTGATTTATTTTTCTTTTTGAAACTAATTGGTATTTATTAGAGAAATAATTTAAATTTAGAATACCTGAGGATATTATATTGATGTGCGGGCATACATCGGGAATTTGAATTACCGCAGCACAAATAGCAATAATTATCCTCTTCCACGTCACATTCGCATTGTTTCATGCCACGTGTTGAGCATACTGATACACAGCTAAAATTTCAATTTCAATTTAACTTACACCGATTTTAAATTAATTCTATTTTATTTAGCTTTAGTACAAATTAGGTAAGTTTGATTCACTTAATTAAACTGAAAAGTAATATTGATATATTCATTCTAATAAATAAGATCAAATCCTTAATTTCTTCAATTTTATCTATCTTACTTTATATTTCAGAAGTGCTTCAAATTACTTTATTAATGCTAAATCATAAATTACTACTAATTTATTATCACAGACACACAAACATACAAACAAAACAAATATTCTTAAACTCATTCTATGTACTAAATTAAGAGATTTAAAAAAGTATAATTTTATTTCCCTCTTTCTTTTCCTTGTTTTATTTCTATTGATAAACAAAAATTAAATGGAACTTCCTTCTTTCTTATAATTCTCTTTTGTTGTTGTTTATTAAACTTTTGTTGAATGATTGGAAGTTTTTTGATAAGATAATATGATTGATATATAAAATGAAAATAGGATAGTTTTGAAATTTAAATATTGAGCATTAATGTGCTCATTTTAGAATATCCTACCAAATAATCAATCCACTCGTTGTCATTTTCAATATTCCCGGTGGGATAAGAAGAGAAAAAGGAATGTTTTGGTAAATGTTATCTTTTAGAATTTCTTTTCGTATCTCAAATTTCCTTTTTCTTCTTTTCATTTCATAGATTATTGAAGAATTCAATTCATTTCATATTCTTTTAAAGTATTTATTTATTTTATTAAGATTTAATTATAAAATGAAAAAAATTATTAAGGTAAAATTAATTAGCTCATAGATAGTTTAAAAATAAATTCCTTCGATCATTTAAGGTAAAATTAACAAATAAACAATATTTCAATTTCTTTTTTGATTCGAAGTAAATTGTTTTGTTTTTACAAATTAATTTTTAATGAATAAATTTATACGTAAAATTTATTTTTTTTCTTTTCAATAAATTTGACAGTTAAAAAATTCATTCAATCATTTTATTTACTATGAATGAATCGATCAATCAAAGGCGAGAAAAATTTCTTAAATTTGTTGCAAAGAAGAATTGAAGAGAATTTGTTGCAAAGAAGAATGACGAGAAATGATAGATGCGAAAGAAAGTCTTAAATGAAATTAAAAGTAATACTCAAAGAGTGTAAGCAAAAAGGCAATTTAAGAGGAGGTGGCAGTCGTAAATCGTTGAAATTTAGATGAAATATTAGTAAAATATTTAAAATTCTTGCAGTATCAGAGAAGTATAATGATTTTAGTAAATACTATAATCATTTGACCATTTAAATTTAAAATATTCCATAGGCTGAAAAAAAGGAATGTACTAATCGATATGAATATGCAAATGAATTTGATTACATCAAAGTAATTCTTAATAAAGCAGTAAATCTTTCCCTATATATTTACATATTAAAAAAAATTTTCAAATTCATACATTTAAATAAAAGTAACCTTTGCAATATCATCCCCCCCCCTCCCCGATATTCTCTATTTTCAAAATTTATTTTTCAAAGATGATTTCAATCTTCATTTTATATAAAATTTTGGAAAAAATTCGTGAGAAAATTATTTAGTTGGAAAAAAATAATGATATATTAGCATATCTTTAACTTTATCTGCCAGGTTTTTCTTGAAATTTTTCTTCCCAAAGGAATTTCCGAACAAATTTTTAATGTAAGAAAAAAGGAAAAATTGAAAAAAACTTAATCCAAAATTTTAAACTTAATATTGGCAATTAAATCTTGACGATCATGATTATAAATGACCTTGAATTTCGGCAAATTTTTGCATCATTAGCCGAACAGATTGCATTTTCAACGGTGCATGATAATGGCGAATGTGAAGCATTTGCAGAATGTTGTTGATGATGATGTATTGTGGATAGCAGGAGAATAACCATACGAATAAGTAGCGGGGATATACAATAGCTAAGAAGCATTAGATGCTATCACCACCTTGTTGCACTTCTTTTTTACATCATTATTTCATTACCACATTCGTAATGTTATTAATCACTAATTATCGAATATTCAGATTGAAGCTATTATATTCACTTTGATTGAATCCAACGAGATGATAATTATAAGATATTTGATGGATTTTTTATTTCGCCTGAAAAAAAACGAGAGAGGAGCATTTTATAGCAATATTTTGTTATCATCATTATTGCGCTTTTTCACTTCAACAAATTCAAATTATATCATTAGCTTGTCATCCGATTCTTTTTTACGTTTTTAAATTTATTGAAGTGAAAATGAGAGATCGACTAAAATAGTAGCATAAAAATGAAAGAAATAATATATTATGTGATAATGGAATAGTTTGAATAGTGCTAATGTTAAAATGAAAAAAGTTGATTAGCTTATCCTTTTCTTGATTATTTCTAGACCATCAATTCTGAAGAAAAATGATGAAGAACGACGAATCAATCCATAAATTTTTAGAGTCCATAAATTTAGGTAACATTTCTAATTTTCAAATAATCTATGCTTGAAGCTATTTTTTTTCCAGTAAGTCAAGAAAGAAATATAGAGGATGAAAAGGTTTTTTTGTTTTAAAGTATGAAAATTAGTTAGCCTGAAATTTGAGATAAATTTGAGATCATTTAGACGATCATGGAATGTGTTATTTGAAACTAAAGCAAAAGACAGTTGGATAAAATTCAGTAGTATTTGAAATAGAAATGAGAACAGCGGTTTCATTTAATAGACGATAAACAACTAAAGCAATTTCATTTTAATTTGTTTGTTTTATTTTATGAAATCATTTCATTCACGTCATAAGCATTATGTAATGCATTTTAAACAAAATGAAATATATAAATTAAAGGGGTAAGATTGAGGGAAATAATTGAAGGAATTAGAATGAAATTGAATTTGATCCAATTTTTAGGCTATATTTTAAAATGAACATTTATCGATTGCTATAAGAATTTCTCGCAAAAATAATAGTAATTTCTTTTCTTAGAAAAAGATCCTCCACAATTTCTCTCATACTAATTTAATTTTTAATTGAGCCAAACAAAAAATGGCATAACGAAAATATATGGAAAAAAACTTTTATGCAGGAAAAAGTTGAATTTTCGACAATTTGTTTATAGTTATAATATATTTATCATATTTTCTCCATGTACTATTGAAAATGAAAGTAAATTATTGAATTTTACAGTTAGAATGGAATGGCAAATTTTTTGATAAATAAAAAATGAATGTAAGAGAATATAAAAATAAAATAAAACGGTGGCAGCATTCAGTTGAGTACTAAAAGGTAAAAGACTTTTAGGCAAAACTTTTAGCAGGTGCTATTTTCACATTCATTTTCCATTCTCTTTTATGCAGCTGCCCTGACTTTCCAGATGTTCTCGCTGTACGTTTTATCGTTAATTATCAAAAATTTGAATTTTCAACGAATTTTCAATTTTCAACAATCTTCAACATTGAATTTTCAATTCTACTATCATTTTCTGCTCTCATTATTTCATCATTCATTTAGATTTCTTAATGAAAGATGATGATATTAAAAAGATTGGATAGCTAATATATACAAATTATTAATTATTTAATGGGGAAAGAATTTATCATGTATCAGATATACATTATGAAAATGCTAATTAATTATGAAGTTTTATATTCATATCTATTATTGTAATCCTGAATGATACTGAGAACTTGTCTACAATATTTCATTAGGTGTATATAAAATAAGGATTAATGATATTATTAGCCTTACGAATGATCATTTTAAAGCGAATCAATTTCCTGTAATTCATTCTCAATGATGATCGATCAAAAAAAAGCATTAGGCAATTATTTGTCGTCCATTTATTAAAATTATATTTGAAAGCATTTCAATAATATGAATGATAAAAATGATAATAGGATGACAAAGAAGAGTATTTATTATTGAAATCATAATTGGTAATAATGATTAGTGAAATTTAATTCTTATAGGAATATAATGATGACTGCATGATAAAGATTATGGAATGATATCAGTTATTATGGGATATTAGTTGGTTGTTAGCATTTGATAATTCAAATATACTAAGAAAAAAATGGGCATGAAATTTTTTAAATAAATGATGAAGTACCGTATTCATCTATGTAACATATTATGTAAGCAATTTATACATTATCTCTCTATGGCTTTAAAAAAATTTTATCGCATTTTAAGCATTTGAATTAAATTAAGCTTAGTTGAATTGAATCGAATTAAGCCACACTTCTCATAAATTTGAGACAGATATAATATCATTTTGTATTATGTTACAGTATGTACTACAGTATAGCCTTAACTAATTGCTTTGTTAATTTTGGTTTAGAAAACAATTATACATAAACTTACTTAACATAAATAATGATTAATTAATTAACTTATTTAACATATTAGATGATAAAATATAATACATGCAAGAAACTGAAATATAAATTGAAAAAATCAATATCCTCTTAAATGATTACTTAAAATAGTTTAAATTTCTAAATTAATCATTACTTAATAGTTCATTTCAAATTTACACACCTAAATCTATTCCATAGATTTAAGCTTGGATTATATTTTAAATACAATTTAAGTCATACTGACAGTTTATCAACAATTGAATGCTCCATTGGGTTAATATCTTATGAAAAGTTCCACTATTGGCAGACATTATTTAGGAAAAAAACAACCGGTAACTAAAATTTTATGGGAAATGATCTGTTGAGGGGAAAAAAATGAGTATTGGAAATTTGAAAATTTGTCTGCTATTAATGTTGTTGGTTTTGAGTGTGTGTCTCCAAGGCTCTTCTAAGCTTTGCCCTTTAGCCTCTATGTATCTTTCCTTCCTCCTCTCCTTTCTCTTATTAGTCTTACTTAACTTCTTATTCTTCTCTTCTCCGTTTTCCCCCGCCTCCCCGTTTACCATCTTTTTTTCCTTCTTCTCGATCACTCAGTCATCCAGTTAATCAGTCAGTAAGTCCATCTTTCGGTGCTATTTCCGGATGAAATCCATAAATCTTCATGTAATGGGCCAAAGAAAATGAGCCTTCAATGTGCTCTTCAAGTTATATGCTTGAATGCAAGAATGTAAAGGGAAACGTTGCTATTTTCTTTTTGACTAAAAATGGCTTAGAATATTTGAGGGAAGATGAGATTGTTTTTGGGGCGCAAATGTTCGAATTATGAACAATAATAGCAATAAGATAAAGCTTTATTGAAAGATAAGAAAAATGATTTATTGAATTTTTGATTAGAAATGATAACTGATAAGAATGGATGAAATATTTTCGTTATAAGTGAATGTTAAGCTTAAAATGCAAACAACAAACAATTCCACTTAAGGTTAAAGTTATAAACGTATTGCTCACTGCTCACTTTGCTTTCTTCTGTCCTCCTTCGACACTTCGATTTATTAAATTCGACAGCTCGATGAATTTCTAATTTCACTACATCATTAAGACGATGTTAAGCTTAGCTAATTCTACACTGACACTTGTCATTTTAACAATTTTGATTTCGAAAATTATGAACTCGTGACTAGTAGAATCTCAGGAATGAATATTTCTTCGATATGAATAGTAAGCAGGAAATCCGAAAGAAAAAAATTCAGCGCTTCATGATGAACTTTAACCTAAACATTAAATGACGTGGAAATAATCTACAGAAAGATCGGAATAATTACAATATTTTTGGTGATTTAATAAATTATTTCATCTCATATATAAATTAATAATTTAGCCAAAATATTACTTCATACTGTTAACTTTAGTTAGAGAAGATGATAAGAGTTTTTTTATCAGTTATGAAATTTATTGATTTCATCCAAATTTGAAATAAAATAATATCAACTCATATAACTTCGTTATAAATATTTTAATATTATAAATTTAATAGTTCAAAATTGGAAGTAATTCTGTTTAACTTTAATTAGAGAAGATTTTAAGTAATCCTTGTCTTTTCTAATTAAGGTTAAATAGGATTATTTCCAATTTTGAACTATTAAACTTACAAACTAAAACTGAAATAGAATAATATGGACTCGTGCAATTTAAAATTTTCATAAAGATATCAAACAAAATTAGAAAAATGTTGAACTGATCAATATTTCAATTTTAAGTACTAAATTCAAATTGAAGATGGAAAGTATCAGTGGGATATGTGATGAAAAGGGACACGTTTTGCATTCAGTGCATAAACTTATGATACGAGACAAATTATGAACCATACATAGGCTTTCCTTCTTCTATATGAAAAACTTTAAATAAATGAGGTATAGGTCTTATAGGCGTAGGCCCCAGTCATTTAAAGGCCTTATAAGGGTAGTTTTGCTACGATTCATTGCACATTCCACCACTAAATTCACAAAGCATAAGAGATAGAGAATAAATATTCCAATATTACAACTCAAATCATATGGAATAAATTTTTTTATCAAATGTTGCCTTTTCTTTTTATTAGAATTAACTAAAAATATTTTTGTGTTTAATTTTTTGAAAATACAAATGAAAAAAGTTTAGAATATTTTTTTGTCTTTAAATATTATGCTAATTAGTTTTCTTTTAATTTTTGTTAATTTACTACGATGAAAAATTTTAATTATATTTTAGTATTTATTAATATTAAGACTATCAAAATTTATACATATTTAATAGAAAGTTTCAAATAGTAAAGAAGAAATAAATTCGGAAAGGTCACTCAATATAGATTTCAGCTAACCTCTATCATCGATGATAGATGATGTATGATGGATAAAAGTGGTTTAAAAGAAAATTGTTGACGAAATACATCTTTGAAATTCTTTTTTTTCTCTCTTCTCTTCTCTCTCTCTCTCTCTCTCCCTTTCTATAGTGAAAGAATAGTTAGTTATGTATCTGAACATATAATTTGGTGTCATCGTTCATTATTCAAAATATAAAATTA